TTTTGGTTGTAAAAGAGATTTTAATTACAGATAACAGGGTATAATACATTTCTCAAATATAGCTGTATGACTAGGGCTGGTAGATTCTAAAAAATTCTCAAGGTGACTCCAACTCCAATTCCAGGTTGATTCCACACAGTAGTTTTTTCATTTCTCAATTTCAAAAATCAAGACATAGGGAATGGCATCCAGCACAATAAAAAGCACTACATTAATTACAGTCTTAAATATACCATTATGATTTATATTATGAATGACAAGCGATCTTGATAATTAACTTCATGTGCCACCACCTCAGTTGTTCTTCAGGGACACAATACGTTTGCTTAAATATATGACCTATTAGTACTTAGCAAGGCAATCTGGAGTGCTATCTCAAGCAAAGTTAACTTGGCTGACTAACGGGATAGATAACTGTCAAGGCTGTTTGATTGTTAGCCACTTTTTGTTTTTACATTTTACATTTTCCTTTTTGATGAATGTGCTGTAGAAAGATGCATTTTCCAGACCAGCTGTTTCGAGAGTGTCAGCAGAATATCTCACACTACCTGTGGGCAAACTTTACTTTCACTGTGTTGACTCTCGATTCCCAAAAGCCTGGAAACAGAGAAGACTCTTGTTGGGATCTCTATGTATGATGCAAAGTCTACAATGGCATGGACTGCTCCACTGGATTAGGCCTAACAGTTGTTTTCTAATTTATAGCAAACAGTTAAAAGTCAATTGTGTGATGATTTCAACAAACAAGCTGTAAAACATTTATTGGTAGACATCACATTTTCAGATAAGCAATGTTTTCAAGACTTTGTTTCTTTTTCTTTGCAGTATGCAAAGTGTGTTCTTTTCTCATTTTGAACACTTTTGGGTAGTTTGCACTACATTTCAGCAATGCTATCCTTGCAGCAACTGCACGCCTTGTATTAGTCATCAAATCATGTTTTAAGAATCACAATTAGCTTTTGGGTATGTGACAAAAACCTCACTAAAGCCCCCTGAGGACTTACCCACTGGGAGCAACCTTCGCCTCCCAAAAACAATGGCAGGGCCATAAAGGGGACACTAAAGATATGATGACTGAACAGTTCCAAAGCATGAAAGAAAGCTTTTTACAACAAGAGCTCAGGGGACGCAGCATGGTGCAGCTGGTACTACCTCATCTCTGAAGAATCAAAGAATGAGCAAAGACTTGAGAAGAACATCAGAGCAGTGGAGTGACTTCAAAAAATATTCTAATACGGGGGAAAAAATGAACACATTACTCGTATCTTAACATTTACTGTTCAGACACATATACAGGCTCTTTTTCGTGGCTATACACAAATACTGGGGACAAATATGTATAACCTCCAGAATGCAAATTATCATCAGTACCCAAAAAACCCACAAACAGACAATCTAGCCAGCCATAGAGCACAAGACATCTTGCCCATGTTCAGATTAGGATAAACTTCCACTAGTCCAGCTAGACATCATAACAACCCTGGGATTAAATGGCCATATGCCATAAGGGCTTTCGTTGGTGTCATGGCAGAATTTCTGCTCCAGCGTTTAAGATCAGGTTTCAGGTACCAGGTTGGTCACTGTAACTCTGCATTCCCTTCACTGATGTCAGAAATGGAAGTTGACACATGCCTGGGGTTCAAGGGATGCGGGAATGCAAGATGTTCAAGGACATGCTTCCCAAAAGAGGAGGGCAATGTGACAACCCTGTGCCCTCTGTCTTTCATAACAGCGGACTTCACGTCCCCCCAAGTCTGAAAAGCCTGGGCTGCAGAGGGAAAACAGGTTTGTTACTGCCATCCTGCTTTCACTGTGATACGTCTTTTACCGCTGAACACTAGCTGGTTTGAGGTTATAGCGGTTCATGCATCTGCCAAAACAGCTGTATGTTTTCATCCAGGTCAGAGCCCACCTGATCATTTTTTTGTCATTTTTATGTATTTATAATTTTTTATTTATTTTTATTTCATTTTAATTTTTAAAATAGACCCAGTTTAACCTGAGGTTCTCCGCGTCAGCTGCCCACCGCTCACCTCCTAGATCTTAATACCAGCAATGGTCAAAACCTCAGTATACAAAAAAGAGCAAGCACCGTCTGTCTTATTCTGTGTCTTAACAGTTGCGCAACAACAGTTAATTGGAGATTATACTCTGTCTTAAATAATATCTGCACTCTAACAAGTTGCTTAAATCATGCAAACAGTCTAAGTTAGCCAGCTAACGTTAGCGGGACCTGTAAGAACACCTCCAGTCAGTCTGCTCGCTGTGAAACGCGACAAGACCCACGACCATTTATCCAGTGCTCCACAAACGTAACGCCCACACAAAGTCGCTGAATCGAAACCACCACAGCACTACCAGCAGCGCTACTAATAACACTGAAGTTTAAACTTTCTCGGTGACAACAATGCGCAGTACTCGCCTGCACGAAAGCTAAAGTAATGCCTCAGGTCAGTTACTCCACTCAAGCAGGCGAGATGAGCGGCTGGGCTGCGTTCCGATATACGCACTTGCGTTCTAACTACAACGCATTGCCAGTGGACAGAACTCCGGCAGCTCCAGGCTTCTACGCACTAGCCAGGCATTCTAATGAGAAAACAAGGACGCACATTGGAGCGCAGCCTTGAATAACAGAACGGTAGTGTAGCTAGCTGCTAGTAGGCTAACTAGCCATTCCCAGCCCACAGACTCGACTTCGCTAAGTTTAAAAACACTTTATAACACCGTTCGCCCGGTTACCTGCACGTAGTTGCTCTCGCAGTATTCGGCGACTCTTTCGAGATTAGTGAAACTGTCCAGTAACGCTCTCCGCCCCGCAGGAATCTCTTCCTCCAAGAGCATCTGTAGCTCCGCCATCTTTTGACTTACATCTTTTTTCACAACTGACGATGCGATGCGCTCCGCTTCTCTCTCTCTCTCTCTCTCTCTCTCTCTCTCTCTCTCTCTCTCTCTCTCATCCAAAATGTATTGTAACTTCATTCATTTTTATAATATAAAATTTAGCTTAAAATATTAAAATGAAAAGTATTACATGGTCATTAAAAGCAATAATTAATTAAGTGATCTTTTAAAATAAGTATAAATTAATTTACCACGTTTACCTTGTGTTTTACAAATGTTCATATGCAAACACAAATTCAATTTTTGTAACAACGTTAGTTAGCATAAATAACTTTGAAGCAACAAAAAAAGTTTTTTTTTTTATTTCTGTGTAACATAATTAATTTGTCAAAACCTCACTATATAATAAAAGTATGTTTGTGTATTTGCTTGTTTCCTTGTTTGTTTGCATTTCACTTTTGCCCAGCTCTGCAATTTGATATAATCAATTTGAAATACTTCTGAAGTAAACGAAACTTATTATAAGTTTATTATTATTAGTTATTATTTGTGTTAAATAATGAATTTGTGCTTGTTTGCAGTGCAGTTTATCACACTAAATTGCATAACTGGCTCATGCTGCATGAAAGTCCTCCCTGAAGTTGATGTTACTAGTATAATGGTCATTCTTAATGGATTTAACTGAAAAATGTTACTGATATAATGGTCATTCTCTACTGCTTATCTGATATAATGTTACTGATATAATGGTCATTCTTTACTGCTTATCTGATATAATGTTACTGATATGATGGTCATTCTTTACTGATTTAACTGATATAATGTTACTGATATAATGGTCATTCTTTACAGATTTAACTGATATAATGTTACACATATAATAGTCATTCTTAACGGATTTAACTGATATAATGTTACTGATATAATAGTCATTCTTAACGGATTTAACTGATATAATGTTACAGATATAATGGTCATTCTTAACGGATTTAACTGATATAATGTTACAGATATAATGGTCATTCTTAACGGATTTAACTGATATAATGTTACTGATATAATAGTCATTCTTAACGGATTTAACTGATATAATGTTACAGATATAATGGTCATTCTTTACTGATTTAACTGATATAATGTTACAGATATAATGGTCATTCTTTACTGATTTAACTGATATAATGTTACAGATATAATGGTCATTCTTTACTGATTTAACTGATATAATGTTACAGATATAATGGTCATTCTTTACTGATTTAACTGATATAATGTTACAGATATAATGGTCATTCTTCACATCTAATTCTACATTCTTTATGATAATCTCTAAAATAGGAGACGGTAGAAGATAATTAAAATAAGCAGTGGTACACAACTAATTCTCCGACAAGCCATCATATTATTTTCAGAGAAAAGGAGGAGGGCCAGAAAAAAGAAATTACGCATAAACCGTGCTTAGATCTAGACTATAGTTAGCAATCTAGCCCCTTGGTATTCTTTCTCTCTGGCACAAAATCTCCTCTTTTCAGAACGCTTGTCGGCCTCCAGTGGCAAAAGCGCTCTGCTTTGGATGTAGCAGTTTATGTCTCTCCTCCCTCTCTCTACTTCTTTGATCAGTTTGTAAAGTTGTAGGCTTTAGCATTCAGTATCCCTTTACAAATTCATAAAAATGTATGAGCTAAAATGTATGAGCTATTTTTTTTTAAAACACTTTTGCTGTACTTTGGGATCCATGGTGAACACAAAATAATGGAAATCTCTGATAAAAAAGAAATCTTAAACCATATTATACCTTCAAATAAAGATTTTTCACTCAAATACAGAAAAAATAGTTATTATTTTATTACCAACACAAATATGTTGCAGCTGTGCAACATTCTGAAGCAAATATTAGAAGCTCAAACATCAACATTATGAGAAGACATTTTAAAATAAGAAAAATCCAAGTAAGAAAAAGCAGTGATGGAAAGTTGCACTGAAACTCATTCAGTGTTATTAGACTTCAGACAGGAGACAATCTTAGATTTTACTCTGTTGTAATACCATGACCACTCACAGGGGGTCATTAGAAACCAATATGTGATCACCACTGTTTTTGTAAGTGCAGGATGTAATGTTTATACTGATGTAATTCTGATGTGTATTCTGCTTGTGTGCGATGCTGTGTGGGTGCTGTGACAATAGCGTCTGAGGTTTAGGCGGGAATTTCAGATTTGTCCTCATGTCGTGGATACTCGTCCACTTCCATTCCCATTAAAAATTCTGTGAAAAAGGGACAGGAGAATATGATTATGTTAGAGAATATTATAACCAAAAGCTTCAGAGCTCCATATACATACACACACACATCTTACCCTCTGTGTAGTCCATGTCTGGTCTGGTGGAGACGAAGATCCAGGCCAGTCCAACCAGTAAAGCTACAACCAGATTCACCACAATCCAGGGCTGCAGGATCTGATGTTCAGAGCCCGGAGGCCTGCAACAAAAACATGTACACGTGTATGTGTGTATGTACGAATGTGTGTGTGTATATATATATATATATATATATGTATATATATATATATATATATATATATATATATATATATATGAGCGCACCACATACACACAATACTGTGCAAAAAGTTAAGTACTAATACCCAGTCAAAAGTACATTGTGTATATCATTATATGCAGATAGCATTTCTGAAGTGTATATTTTAGACAATCGACCTGCATAAAGAAGGTCAAACCATGCTAGACCTGTTAGACCACCAAAACTGTCACCATAGACAAGTAGTATTTAAAGCTTTCATTTTTGACAGAGAGAAAATCAAGCTCCACTCTTGCTTCAGATCTAAAAATCCACAGGTGTTTCTGTCCATCCTTCCACTGTGAGAAGACAATGCAACACTGTGAGTCTAAAAGGATGTGTAGCTGTTGCTGAGAAAAAGAAATAGATGACAAAGAAGGAAATTTACAAATCAAACATTTTCAAATACTTGAATTATTTGGATCGTGAGAAGCAAAAAATGCAACCAGCTTCCTAGACTGAACTTTGGAGGTGTGGAAAATATCCCAGCAGATTTCTTTGAAAAAATCAAAGCTAGTCTCCTGAAAAGAATGGAAGCTATAATGAAAGCAAAGGGTGGACACACTACTTACTGAAAAAAAAATGATATTATATTTAGTTATTGAGGTTTCTGTGTAGGCGCAGTGGGTAGCGCTGTCGCCTCACAGCAAGAAGGGCCTGGGTTCGATTCCCGGCCAGGTGACCAGGGTCCTTTCTGTGTGGAGTTTGCATGTTCTCCCCGTGTCTGCATCGGTTTCCTCCCACAGTCCAAAAACATGCAGTCAGGCTGATTGGACATGCTAAATTGCCCCTAGGTGTGAATGTGTATGTCTGTCTGTCTGCCCTGCGATGGACTGGCGACCTGTCCAGGGTGTATCCTGCCTTCTGCCCAATGACAGCTGGGATAGGCTCCGGCACCCCACCGTGACCCAGAAGGATGAGCGGTTTAGATAATGGATGGTTTCTGTGTAATTTTCTGTTAAATATATTTTTTCTGCATTTTTTCCTGGGACTGAAAAAAGAATGCTTTGTACTGAATTTCTGTTTTGACTGGGAATTAAGCAAATGAAAGTGTGGTCTCTGATTTTTGCATAGTACTGAAGGATGAAGGAATGATAGGCTCACCATAGTGTCTCGTTGGCAGTAGGGTACAAGTTTATGCGGTCACTGGTCATCTGCTGACTGAGAGATAAAATAAGAGCTGCAAAGTACACTGGAAACACAAAAAGCACAAATTCACACAGAAATTGCCTTGTAGCTCATATCTTACAGGCATTATTGACAGGCTTATTACTCATTTTAACTCACAGAATGAAGCGAGTGCTGCTGGGTCGAGTGTGAGAAACCCTCGCAGAGCCATGGAAGCCTTGGCCAGATTCACCCTACAGAGAAGAGTGTACAAATCAGAAAACGTCACTCAAGATATCCTTTTATTGAAGGTTTAGCTATATTGTTACCAATGTTAACGTTAGTGAGTTGTGTAGTGAATAATGCCAGCTCTCACATTTTCAGTTTTAAATGTAATACATTTAATAATCAGTGACCATTCCACTGAAGAAATGGCATAGGAAGGTGTAGACTCCACTGGCCCTACAAGTCTGCTGCTGCAAATAACTGGTCACATCTAATGAGCATATATACCTGTCAAAGGCAGACACAGTACTAATAGCCAGCAGTAGGTAGAGTAGAGACTGGGCGGGGTAAGCTAAGCTGTGGTACTGCTGTAGCAGGTTGGGCAGTGTGGTCAGCTGCTCTCCAGCCAGAACATAAACAACAATAATATTCCATACAGCGTAGCCTGCCAGAAAGCCATGCGAGAAGAGCCCAATGATCCTACAGGGGCAAACAGAGATACCCAGTGTAATGCATGATGGTCAATATAATGGATTTATGATTCACTGGCAGGTTTAGATGACATGACTGAACTGAAATTAATCACTGATTTAACATAGCTTAGCATATTTGATTCTCCTAACTGTGAAATGCTGGTTTAACAGAGAACTGAAAAATGTAAAGGGGAATTCTGCCAATCATGCGTGCATAATTAAATCATTAAGTTGTAAACAAAGTCATTCGGGTGATTTGATGTGAAATGCTCCATCCTAGAGAAACATACCGAATCAGAATTGTTCACACCAGTGGTGATAGGAACCAGACATCTGAAGCGTTTGAAACTCGCTCACAGAAAGCTAATATGCACAAAATAGTTACAAATATGTTGCCTGATGCCTCAGACATTATCAAAAGTTTTGAGAAAAGTTTTTGGCCTAAAATTTATTTTTAAAAAATACATTCTTGGCAGAAATATGTATACAGAACATTGTAAGTCAAAACAGTCTCCAAAGAAAACGTACTGTTTCCTAACGTTTTCAAACTCAGAAGACATGTAAATTCACCAATGCTAAAAATAAAATTGGCTATATTTGTGTCATAGGCATAGCAACCGCTGGTTCCCATCACCACCAAAAAACACCTACAAAACACTATCTCAACCACTCAATTATGTAGAAATAAAAAAAAACTGGTGTAATTCCACTTTACACCTTAAGAGCCTGTATGTGATTCACAAAACTACATAACGTACATGTCAGTTTCATAGTAGCTACAAAATCCTTCAGAGTAACATTAATACTGATGAAATTTTGTGAAGGTACAATTTGGATTAACATTTAAAAGTTTTCATTAGAAAAAGAATTATTAATTAATAAATTTAATTATTTATTTATTTAATATTATTTATTATTTTTTCTATTGCTTTGTTAAAAGTCAGTAATCATATGTGATAAAACTGAATATGACAAATTAAGCAATAAAAAACTCTTTTTAGCGAAATGGTTTTATGTACTTCTTCAGACAACATATTGACCAATTGAAATGTAAAGATACAGGCAGTAATTGCTAAAGGGATTTACTAAAACAGTTAATAGTTAATGTGATTCTGACTTAGAGATTGAAGTCTTTTTGTGGCTTCTTGTTCTTCATCTCACCTGAAGCCACTGTGAACTCTCATGGCCACGTCCCGTGTGTTCCAAATGGGTCTCACTTCCATGAACTCTTCCAGTTGCTCACGGGTCAGGTCCAGACGATCTCTCGCCTGAAACCGTCCTGCACACAGAGAACAGTCATATGATGCAAACACACAACACAGCCTTTACCACAAGTGTTTTACTGATACTAGCATTAGGGAAAGATTATTGTGTATGTTACACTATTAAAAATAAAGATTTCTAAATAGTTCTTGGCTCATGTATAGAATCTTGGAATCTTGGTGTAGAATCTTCACATTTTGTAGGGGTTTTAAAAATGTTACTGCGTTCCAGCCTAAAACCAGAGTTTAATAGGTTATTTGTCACATTATGCAAATTTCTGTAATGCAGCATTTTGTTCCTGAGCCTAACAGAGTTCACAGTTCTGTGTCATTTTCATGTTTTCCTTCATTAATTTTCTACATCACCCAGAATTCACTCTAGGGACTAAGGCAGCGCTGTAGACACCAGAAGGTATGATAACAACGGATGCGTCCTTCTAAGAATATAGGCTTTTCATAGCAAGCCATGATGGACAAATAAAATAGGGATTGTACACCCTAATCCTTATTTTATGAGAAATGGCCAATTTCTTCCTTAAATGTGATCAGCACTTACGGCTTCTCTCCACAAACACTTTGCTGAGAGGCTGGCTGTGGCCCAGTGGGGCAGAGAACAGAGAGCGATGAGAGATAGGAGTGTGTGCGTCAGTGACGATGTCGTCCTCTTCCACGCCCAGTTCATTGGTGTACTGGTTCTCTGTTATCTTAGCCTTTCTGCAGAGAGGAGAATTCCATCATAGTCTTTTCATGAAGTGCTAGATTCAGTTCTCTCACAATAATGATCTGCTCTAACTCCTCGTCCACTCTTACCGCTTCCTTTTGCTTTTCCTAGGGACTCCCTCTACATCTATTTGTGCCTCTCGTGCGTCCCCATTCGCGAGGTCTTGCTGCTCACCTTCCATGTCTATGAAGAAAGGAAATCATTAAAATTGATGATTGACTAAGCAAAAAAGAGATATATAGTGTCCATTTTAACTGATTACCAAAAGTATGTGTCTTCTTTTTCTTCTTCTTCCTCTGTGGTGGGATGTCCTGAGGCTCAGGGGTCAGAGTGTCCCTGTTTTCTGACTCCATATGACTGGCCAGGCCTTCCATTTCAAGAGCAGGCTCTGTTCCTGCTGGACGGATCAGTGATATGAACAGAATACAGGAAGACGTAAACTGTACCTCAGACATCTGGTAGTAACTCCATACTGAACAAATAAGTGACAATATCAACTCGACCGATCACTAGCAAAACCCTGATATGATGGGGATGCTAAAAGTTCTCACCATCTGGATCTTCCATGTCATTGATCTCCTTCTTAACCTTTCTCTTCTTGGGTTTGGCAATGGGCATCTCATCTGGGTAGAGGGCAGAAGGAGGACAAATTACTATGCTAAGAGCTGCTCCCTTTACCTGCTCCTACCTGCCTAAGTAATTAGGGGTTCAAATACGATTAAGTAGTTAAGATAAAATTAGGGAAGTAATGAGGTAAAATGAAGTAAGTCACTGAAGTATGTATAGAGATAAAGAAAAATAGAAATGACTGGATTTGGATTTAAATAAAGTCACCACCTTTTTAAGTGTTAGATATTTAATAACGAGTCTCTTTTACTCACCTCCAGCTTCTTGGCTTCACCATCATGTTTGTAAAATCATGGAGGAATAATAATGAACAGAGAACGAAATAAACAGTAAAGGTCAGTTTCTTAGCCAAGGTGTGTATAATGTAGATGCTTAGGAAAACCAGCATTTATAAGCTGTTAAGGATAATGACCATGTTACTCTTTATAATTGTGTATACCTCTTTAAAGGCTTCTAAGGGACACAATTCTAAAGATACTCAGGTTAACAATTTATCACTTGATTACAATTCACTTAAGTATTTAAAATAAATCACTTAAATGGATTATCAGTTTTCATGCCACAGCATAACTTTTACAGAACAAGTGAACCCACATATGTCAAATTCAGTATAATGAAATGCACAGAATATCTTGTGGTAGAGCTGAAGTCATGAAATATTGTATTGTTATACTTTAAAGGAACATCTAACAGTAGACATTTTTTATCTGCAATCATGTCTGAGTTTTCCATTGCACTGTTAAAATATTAGCAGTCCTCTGTGGCCAAAAGAACTGAATTTCATGTGATAAATTAAGTGTTAAATCCTAATTTTTTAGAAAAGTGGTTTGACCAATTTAAAACTTTTTTCAGATTTGTACTCAGGCTAACTCAGACAACATGTGGACCAAAGGAAAATTAAACATTTAAGATATGGTCATAAATGGGTTAATTTATTTATTACCTGCTTCAAGAAAACTACAAGATGCAATGATGTTGCTGGGATCATGAGGTATTCTTACATATTAGCATGTCTCCTTAAAATGTCTAAAACAAGGGTGCCCAAAGTGTGACCTGCAAAGACATTTGCCCTACCTCCCTAATCAACTGTGAGAAACAAAATTATTTTTCTTAACAAAACCTTTAATATAACATTTAAAAAAAATCATAAGTCTTAATATCACACATTATGAAAGCACACTTACTTTTCACTTTTTTCAACACATCCCAGCAATGTGCGAAAGCGTAAGGCTAACAAACAGGTAGGTTTTTGCCCTTGGCCCACCACTAACATCACACTTTGGCCTCTCAAAGCAGAAAGTTTGAAAGTACAAATATTTAAATACTTAATATAAATGTTTGTTCTTTTTTAGTTGCAGATATTTTTGAAGAAACTGACCTTTGCATTGGAGGCACTCCACGCTGACAGACAAAAAGAGAAGAGACAGAGTAACCCGATGAAAGGTGACCAAAATGAATTCAGTAGGTTGCAGTCACAGTTATGATTTAGGCCATCATCACATTGTAGGGATCCAAAGCAGAGCAGAAATATTCTCTACAGTCTTCAGGTTTCACAAGTAAGCTGACGAGATCACAATCCAATCATGTCACCTGATGACACCTCCAAACACGCTTGCCAGCAGCATGCGTGATTAAACCCATTACATGCTGTACGTGATAGTAACCCTGACTAACTACAATGAAATACACTGTGTATACAGTATGGTCTGAACAAACTACCAAGAGCTATTATTTTTATTCAAATTCTATTTCACAGACCAGATTCACTAATATTTAGTGAAAATATCTCAATATGTAGTACATCTACCGTTTGCCATCCAAGCTCACTGACTCTACAGGTTCCTGCAAACGTTCCCCTTGCTTCCAAAGATTAATTCAATGGGATTGTGGTCTGGACTAAAAAGGTAATTTGTCTCAGTTTTAAATAATAATGAATAATGATGAGCATCAACTGAATTTATTTGCAATATCTTTTGGTAAATGATGAAATAAAAACAGTTCTTGACAGTGAATTCAGGGTTTCAGACCCTACTGTAGGAGCAATTTGTATCATACAGCTTATTCCTGTGGAGGTGTAGTCTTTAAGATAACCAGATTATAAAGACAACAAGGTAACCCGAAGCCAACCCTTGGTAATCCGGAAGGGCAATTTAACAAAAGGTGGCAAGTTAGAGGAAAGATAGTGTAACAGGACTTGTGACATACATAGACTCAGTTCTTCTTTTTTTCTGAGCCAAAGAGAATCTAGAAGTTTGTAAATCTTTTAAATTATGAAGAATATTCAGCTAAATACTGAGTTTCTCAAGTCATACTTTCATACTAGCTTCCTACAGCTCTTAGATGAGTCTCAGTGTCTGCATATTCCTTATGAAAAATGGAATCAATAATATGCTGCACTGAAAGTCAATGCGTCACTCTCCGGAGAGTACGCGCACCACCTGTATCAGGAGCCTAATCCACAGTCTACGGCTGAAGCGCTTGCCTCACACATACCACCCCAAGCAAGTCTTAGTATGTGCTTCATTACCTACACTAGAGTCTCCTGCTGTATAATCTGTGAGTGAGTGACAGATAGACTGACTTACTGCCTGTTTTCTCCCCATTGTGCTCAGGTCGGAGTCATGGTGCTGGATATGGCGGTGTGGAGGGAGGAGGAGGGTGGCCTGGAGCTGCTCTGAGGCCGTCTAATCCTGCACTAAATCCACACAGGCGTGCATCTGCCAAGCAGGGAATTAGTGAGGAAGAGATTGCTGTGTGTGTTCTGAGGACATGCAGGAAGATATAAACACACAAGCACGGCTCCTGTGCACTCACACACAGCAAGCAAGGAACAGGCATGACCAGCACACCATTCATTAGTTATAGTGAGGACAAGATGCACATATTCACTTTATTTTATCTTAAAAACAGTCATTTAAGACAGTAGCACAACAATAGAGCTTTCACATACACCAGCCTCAGCTGTACCATCACAGCACAAACCCTTCACACCTGTCTATACATATCAACACAAAAGACAAGGGCATATAATGTTTTGCTTTTTCTCCCCAGAAAAAGGGTATAAAACAGTAGCAAGGCTTTAATAGTAAACAAGTCCCACAATCACACATACACATAATGCAGTAATAACACTTATACTAAAGGCTATAATGCTTAAATCACATTTGTTTTTCTTCTTTGTACAGTCAGATTAGTTCACTTACTGAACTGTCATAAATATATGTAAACCAGATTTGAAACAGCTTAGTTCCAGTTTTTTGCTGTTTAAATCTTAATTAAAAGATCTGTACATGGAAACATGTACATGGAAACATTTGCTGCTTTTGAAACAAGCACGCCACAAAGTTGGAGTAGGGCTGGGCAATATGGCAATATTTATCATTATCACAATATAAACTACATGTTTCATTACAAAGACAGCATAATTAATCCTGTTTAATTGGATTTAGTTTAGTACATCATGTGCAATGTTGAACAAAAATCATCGTACTGATTTTGATAGTATTTCTTTAAATGTGGCTCTGACTGTTCCAACTTTGTTGATATTGCTTATCATGACAGTTTTGTGATATTGCATTTTGGCCATATCGCCCACCCCTAAGGTAGACACACAAAAAAATGCTTATCAAGACAATATCTTCAGGGCAGACATAGAAACCTGGCTCAGAGAACATGAATAGATTAAACGAAATAAAAAGATGTAATAAAATCAGAAATCAAATCAAATCATCTGCAACAAACCCTCAACACTAATCATCTGGCTGTTGGGAGTTAATGATGTCATCAATAACACAAAAAGTCTCTCTTTGTCAGATGAAAAGAAATAAGCTTCTGTTTTTTGTGTAATTGAGTGCATTTAAAATGTTGCTAACTATCTGATCTTAATCTCCCTTCTTCGGTCTTAGTGGCAGGCTGTGCGTGTTTGTGTGTGGATGAGTTTGTTTGTGTATCAAGATTCGTCAAAGCTGATCCAGTTGGCTGGTATCCACTGTGGCTCCTCCTGAGCGTGCTGGATAGCTGCAAAAAGATCCATGCATGCGTCCTGTAGTCTGTGATTTACAATCACACAGTCGAAAAACTGACTGTACTGAGCCTCCATCATCCTGGCGGCCTCTTCAATCTTCTCAAAGTCCTCATCCTGCATCACACAGTAAGAAATAAAAGGGGAAGGTTACAGTTTAAGACGTCAATGTAAGTTACAAACAGGGTCTCTAAAATCACTGAACAGACTGTAGGATGTCTTCTTACTCTGAAAGTTCTCTTGAAGTAGCTGCTAGCTATAAACTTGGCATCCCTCCTTGTTAACTTCATGCGTTCAAGAGATGGAGGCTTCACAAAGATGATGTATGGCTTCAGCTTCTTGGTTCTCACTGCATGGATGCACTAGAGTAAAGGAGATACATGGTCATTATGCACTTTCTTTATAATCGGCACTAATGGTCACACTAATCATCAACACACTAACGTGAGGTTCGATGTCGATGATGCAGGTTTTTCCGCTGTCCAGCACATCTTTGATGGAATCAAAGCAGGTACCGTACAGATGACTCTTATGCTCCCCATATTCAATAAATCTGCCAAAAAAAAAAACACAAACAGCATATACTGTAGATGTTGTCACTGTCCATAAAAATATGTATCTCCAAAATAGTGACTTTACAGGAGAAGGCAAAAACATTCTTAACTTTTATTGTAAGTTGATGCAAAGAGCTTTTATTCCAAGTGATTTTGTAGCATTTTCTATTGGTCTATATTCAAAGTTTTTTACAAGGTTTTTTGGACAGCGATGATATGCAATGTTAAAAAGTAAGAAACTGTACACCTACTTGTGATTAACCATCAAGTATTCAAACAGCTCTTTGGTAACAAAGTGGTATTCTTGTCCGTTCACCTCTCCACTCCTAGGGGGCCGTGTAGTGTCTGAAGAGAAATGAACAAGACTACGCTAGTCAGAATACACCACCGTTTTCTGCTGCCGTTTAATCAGCAATCCATGCCTAGTGCATTAAATCTGCAAACCTCAATTTCAAAAAGCCTAGGACAGTATATGAAATGTGAAAAGCAGTACATTCTGTTTGACCTGTGTTAAATAAAAACAGTACGAAAACATGACAGTTGATATTTTATCTTTTAAACTTTTGTTTTTTGTTGTTTTTGTGTAAATATAGTCTCATTCCAAACTCAGTTTCAGCAACACATTCTAAAAAAGTTATGACGTATACATGTTTACCACTGTGTTACATCACCTTTCCTTTTAGCAACTGTTTAAATGATAATTAATGTATCAGGACTAAAGACACTAATTAATCCAGTTTTGAAAGCACAATTTTTGGCCATTCTTCTGTTACACAAATCTCCAGCTGGCCTTCATCACTGTATTTTGTGCTTCATAATAAGCCACAATTTTCAATGGGAGTCTAGACTGCAGGGATGCCAGTCTACGACCTGCGCTCTCTGATCAGGCAGACATGCTGTAACACTTGCAGAATGTGGCATGGGCTGTCACACTGAAATTAACAAGGACGTCCCTCAAAAAGATATTGTAAAAAGCAGCATATCGCTGTTGTCAGAACAAAACCTTGTATCTCCAAAAATTAGAACTTTACAGGAGAAAAAAAAACATACTCTACTTTTAATGTAAGTCAATGGAACCAGGCATTTTCCAAGTAATTCTGAGTTTTTTTTTTTATTTACACACAATGCAAAGAACAACAAGTATTTTCGAATTATGTCAAAAACTGAAGAATGACAAAAATGGAGATACGAGGTTTCATTCCAACAGCAGTGATATGTTGATCCAAAATGCGTACACATCTTTCAACATTAATGGTGCCTTCACAGATGTACAAGCTACCCATGTCATGGGCACAAATACACCTCCATATCATAACAGACTTTTTTGAACTTCACACTGGTAGCAATCTGGATGTTTCTTTTCTTTTTTGGTCTACAAAACGTCTATTATTTCTGGAAATAATCTGAAAGGCTGACTTGTCAGACCACAGTACATGTTCCCACAATGCATCAGTCCAATTAAGATGAGCCCAGAGAAGTCAGCAGTGTTTCTGTTGTTGACATATGACTTCCACTGTGCATAGCACAGCCTTAACCTGCATTTGTAGAAGCAGCAACAATTGATGTTTATTGACAATGGTTTGTAAAAGCATCACAAAAGCATGCTAGAATAAGAATGCAGTGCCATCTGAGGGGTTAAAGGTCATTTCTGAAGGACATTTTTAGCCTTGCCCTTTACACACATAGACCTTTTCATGATATAGTGCACTGCAGAGGGTGAAATACCTAAAATCCTTGCTGCTTTTACACTGTTGGATTACCCATTAACACATTTTTTGGCAAAGTGGTCAGCCATTACCAAAGCAATGATGATGATAAGGTTAAACTTTAAATATCTTGTCTTTGTACTGTTTTTGTGTCAATACAGGTCAAAGTGTATTTACAAAACGCTGCTTTTGGTTTTTATATGCATTTTACTTACTGGAATTCAGGTTTGTATTATAGAAAATGGCATTCAGCATGAGAGAAACAGAATATTTTTCTGTGGTTAAAATACACTGTAAAAAGTAATAGATGGAACTCACTTGATCCAAATAGCAGTATTGTGCTGAATGTAATATATTTAATCCTTATGAAAATTATGTACACATTTGAATCATTTAAATTCAAGGCATTAGTTTTTTCTCAGGGTTTCAGTACACCTTCAGTGTACCATGATTAATTTATTCCACACACACAAATCAAGAGAAGAATGCACTCACAGGGTATTGGTCCCTGAAAGGTGTTGGGGTTGATTTTTATCAGCCTCCTGCGTAATTCATTTACTCCTACTCCTGATGGACCTGAGAAAAACAAGCAACACAAAAATACACTTTGATATTGATTTGTACAGTACTGTGCAAAAATTCAAAATTCAAATATTTATATTGAAAGGAAAATTACATAGTAGGCTCAAAAACTAAATATAATTTGTCAATTTGAAGATATGCTTTCAGTTGTCAAAGAAAGCTGCTATTTTTCCACACTTCCAAAGTTCAGTCTTTGAAGTTGGTTGCATTTTCTGCTTCTCTCAATCCAAATAAACACAAACACAAATTTATACTTAGTCCATAAAACCATACTCCACATATGTCCAGTTTCTTACTCTAGTGAAAATTGTCTTCTTTTTTGGCTAGTTTCTTTTTTGGACAGCTTCTTCTCACAGTGAAAGATGAAAACACCTGTGGATTTTTTCAGACTTCCAAACGAAAGAAGATTGTTTTTCTGTCTTTCAAAGATGAAAGCATTAGGTCCTGTTTATCTGATAGTGACAGTTTTGGTGGTCTACCAGGCCCTCTATATTAAAATATATATTTTATTATTATAACTTTTTTGACGTCAACTTAGATTTCACACAAATTTTTACAGTGCATGCATGATGCAGTCTCTCACACAACCTCTGCAAAAAGAAAATCTTGATAGACCCATTAATCTGTTGTTCTGAAATTTAATTTAATTTCCTTGTAGCTTAAATTTTACTTGCCTATATGCCTACATGAAAACTCTATATGCCGACAAGAAATGATCTGAACATCTGAATTAACAGTACATGACTGTTAATTCTTACCCAGGAGAACAATGAGGCGTGGAGGCTCGCTCCTGTTGCGCTGGTAGTTGAGCACCTCCTCGTATGGACTGGTTGAGGCACTGTGGCAGCTGTTAGGGCCGCAGAAATGACAGGACTGCCTCCTCTTACTGGGAGCCCTCCTCCTCCACAAGCGCAGACTGTGTCTGAACCCAGCTACACACAGCAATCAGTCCATCAAATACTCAAGTACCATAATTACACTATCAGCCATGACAAGGCCTGTAATGATGATGATGATGATGGTGCTACTGTGATAATAAATAGCCTTTTGGTGAAATCCTACCTCACTGGATCAGATCAATAAACAACAAAATTCAAACAACAAATTCAAAGTGCATACCAATATAAAAGCCCTCCATGTGTCCACTGTGTTCACCCTCCTCTAAAACAGAACAGTGAAGAGTAACGTCACAAAACAAGAGCAAAAGACACTCATCATACACTGCTGTTCAAAGATCTGGAGACCATCTTTTCAAAAATATAAAACCGATTCTACTGTAGAAAAATGCATAAAATGATTCTAATATGCTAGTATTGTGTGGCTTCACAGGTTTCAAATAAACAGCAGTTAACTTGTAAATAGGTCATTTGTAAATAAATGATTATAGGATATTAATTATGAACTTTTTCTAGTTCCCAAAATATTTGAAATATGTAACAAAACATCTGAAAATACTTTATCTAATGTCCAGTTTATAATCTTTCAATCTGCACTGCATACATTATTACTGTATAAAAAATAAATTATTAACATTCAAACTATACCTAACAAATATATCTGGTTAAAGCAAAATCAAAACTGCCATTAAACGGGCCAAGACCAAAAAAAAAACAAAGTTTCCTGGCTTTTTTGGAATAAGAGAGTAACCACACTGAAACTTCAAATGTAGCCTTTTAACCTTTTAAAGTCATTGTTTTGCATGCTGTCATTAAAAACCAAATCTGCCTACATCAGTTTAGCCACACCTATTCATGACAAAGCTATAAGGAGTGTTTCAGCGCAGACTGTTTTGGAATGAGGCACAGTACAGGGCAGAAAAGATCAGAACAAAGGTCATTTACATATATCAGTCGCAAAGGCACAATATTACAAATAGCCTGCTAAGGATAAAGAGAGATAGAATATGTAAAAATGAATCAGTACTATCTTTGGTACATAAAACAGCAAGGAAAAGGAAAAAAAATAAATGTAAAAACAAAAAGGTAGGATATGGGCTAGATGTCAAGTATGTCAATCTGTGAAGATTTCTCAATTTAGACAACAAACACTTACATTAAAAAAGACTTACCTACCAGTTTCAAAAGCTTCATCATCTGCAATCAAATAAAGATTCAGATGATGATGAAATACACCATTAAACATCCAGTCTAAATACTCTATTATGTATCCAGTCTATAAAGTAGCATGAGGTCATCACCTGCATCTGCAGACTTCTCTTCAATAGCTCCTTCTTCCTCTCCTTTAAATACAAAAAGAGCAGATGTTCTTTAGTCATGATCATAATTAAGCGGCAATATCATGTACTTTGTTTTTTTTGTGTTTCGTTTGATAACACAATGTCACAGAACCTCAAAACTACAGCACATTAACAGTAACTGACACATCTATAAAATTCACAAATAACAACACTAATGTTTCACAAGCTAAACTAACTGGTACATACCAACATCAGCTGCACTCACTGCATATAGGCAAGATTAGGGGTGCATTAAAAACCAATACAAAAATGACTGAACACTGTCAACATATCAATATGTAAAGCACAGGTATATTCTATCACTGGGTTCAGACTGCCTCACTAAGGTTCCTTAATGTGTGATTAGATTAGCACTGTAAAGGGCAGCAGATCAAGTTCCTGGAGTTAACCTCCTCTGAAGGTGATGGAGCACAGTCAAACACCTGATTATGTGAAACATCATACAATGCACTGCAAAAACTTCTGTATGTTTAAAACATTACTGCTACTTACAGGGTTTTATACAGGTGTGGGCCTGGTAAGACTGAGACCACCAGAACTCCCTCTTCTTGCTACAAAGAAAAAACAGTAGGAGGCAAAAGGAGACATGAACCCTTCAGCAACTCATTAAAATGAATTTCACAGGAGACTTGCTATGAGATACTGATATCATTGGCTTACTACTCTGAGAAGACCATTAGGGAAGAAATTCAATGTTTCTTTTTATTTTTAAGGTCTGTCTCTTACCTTTTGAAATGGCTGTTGGATGGTACGAGGCCTGCACAGGCTGTAGTATTGGGCAGCAGCCTGGCCTGCCACCACTCGACATCTCTCTGGTCAACAATCTCCAGCAGGTCCCCTTTGCTAAAGGCCATGCCTGCATCTGGGCATGGAATGGAAGGGTCCTGCAGTGGATTGTAGTCTACCATGGCTCTCATATACAGCTAGTCAGAGCAGAGATGAAAAACGTCTAGTATTGTGCACAAATCAGAGATTTATTAGATTTGATTTATTGAATTTCCAGTCAAAACGGCCATTCACTATAAGTTATTCATTTTCAGGAGATATTTCTGAGGAGATTAGATAAAAGATAATCTATTGTCACAAGGAAGAGGAAAGTCAAAGGGAAAAAGTGAAAACAAAAACCCTCCAAAATTGGACTTGAACAAGACTGAACTTGTTATTTATTAATAACTGGAAAATTAGCACAGTTTTCAGGTTTCTGCAACTTGTTACATTATTTACCATATTATTACCAACATTGCAATTACTGCCTTATTGGTAATTTAAGAAAAGTTACATGTAACTTTAAGGAAGTACAATTTGTTACTGTAATATTACTATATTATTACCTATTTATCGCTGATCTGTAAAGTGCAACCAATATGTGCTTTCTGCTTTTTTCACAACACTGGCAAATGAATAACCTCTTCTTAATACCAGTTTTGACTGGAAATTACATAAATGATGGGTGGTCTCTGACTTTTGCAATGTACCGTTAATTTTGATACTGTAATTGTTGCAAATGCTGAAATGTACTACAGCACATTATGTGTCTATGAAAACCATCACAGATAAATACAGTTCCACTGCCATCCTTGTTCCCTCCAACTACCTGGGGTGCTTGTAAACCTTTAAGTGGGAAGATCTGTATAAGAAAGATTGCTTTACTTTTAGGGGTGAAGTCAGATTAACCTACGGTAGTACTTACAGTTGCATGGCTGATGGGAGGCTGTGGTGAGTTGGGGATCACCTTGAACAGGATAGTTCCTTGAGAATGTACCTACAAATAACAAAGGACAGAACAGTAGTTATGTAATTACAAATTAGGACAGAATACAATCTTTCCCTAAAGAAACTCATTCTTACCAGGATCTGAATGACTTGCACAGGTTCCAGACCCTCCACTGGCTCCCCATTCACCTCCACCAGTTTATCACCAGGATAAAGGAGACCTTAAACGCCAAAACCCACACACACCACACACTGACTGTTACACCATACCAACAAATCTGCTACCCTAAACATGCATTACACTCAAAAATGGTGCCACAACATGTTTCTTTGAATACCATCACAGAAAAACTACTTTTGGTAACTAAAGAACTACATTTGAAAAAGAGATTAAGTGAGTATGCGTGAAGAACCTATTAAAGGTTTTAAAAAAACTTAACACAATTAAAGGTTCTACACCAATTTGAAGATTCTTTCTCAAACTTTTACATCATATGGAGGTTCTTCACATTTACACATCTCTGGTGCTCTAATAAACCATCCATTAAAAGTTTTTAAGGGAACCAAAAGTGATTATTTTCCAAAGCAGCACATAACCCTTTTTTGGCACATTTATGTTTGAGAGTATACCATTCAAAAGTTTTGAATTCAATTGTCATATTAATACATGAAATTTGATTCAACGAAAACGTACACAGTGTAGACAAAAATACTGTAAGCTAGAAATTCCTTCTCTAATTCCTTGGGAAGTTATCCGAGTCCACCACATCACCACTTTCAAATACAAGGTATTCTGAGCATTCATTTCATTATAACCTAGATAACTCTGTTAATCATTCTAAACGCATCTAAAATGTCTCAACTGTTTTAAGCACCTAGTTGAAATAGCTGAAACCTAATCTGTACAGTAGCAGCATCAGAAAAGAATCATTGTATACATGTATATGTGCAATTAAATTGGTTTTGTTTTATACAAAACTGTGATTCCAAATATTTAAACTGTAGTGTGAGTCAGATATTTAAACTGTAGTGTGAGTTGCATTAGCCACATGCAGCCAGGATTCTTGAATCGGGAATCAGCTTTGTAGCTAGAGTACAACAAAATACCCATGATGGTTTACATACTCACCACTGCGATCTGCTAGTCCTCCATGTATCACCCTCGCAATAAAGATCTCCCCTGTTTTCTCATCCTTTTTAATAGTTGCTCCCTATCAAATGCGGGAAAAAATGAAATAGAGAACGAATGATTACTGATGTCTTATAGGAATCTTATATTAATAACTCACTGACAATGAAACAGGAAAAGCATCATGGAAAAGGTCCTCATGCAACATACATACAAGCATCTGTGGTATGGAAGGTATGCAATGATTAAGATGAACAAATGAATCAGTAAGAAACATCAAGAATATAATAATATGAGATGAAGTATAAAGAATGAAATCACAGAACACAAAAACTGGATGAAGTGTCAGGTATGTCACTTGCTAGCAAAACAAGAAAAAATGACTCATGTAATAAAATAATGATGGAAAGCAAATAATAAAAATCAGTGCCTGTTAAACCTTATGCCCAGCTGCATTGGTGAGTAACGTCAGAAGAGCTTTTAAAGTCCGTCGACCTCACGAAGAGAAAGCCATAAGACACAGAAAATCAGCCTCAATTATTTCTTCATCTTTGACTTTCTCTTCCCACTGGAGAGGCAGCCTATTGTTCCATAGCCATCATTTAGCCTTGACACTGTTGAACCATTAGAGTGGAAAGACTGTCCTTTATTACTTCTGAAGGGTATTGCTTTTATGCTCCCTCCTCTCGGGGTGCAGGAAGGCTCCTGTGATCTCAGGGTCTCCTCCATGTAGGAGCTTACAGAGCTGGAGCAGGTGGAGGAGGATGATGACGAAGAAGCAGAAGAAAGCACAGCATGGCTTCCAAAAACACTGCAAGGAACACTGGGTACTTTAGCCTCATTTGGTGGTCTTGATAACACAGCATGTGTTTTGGTTGCAGTGGATGGTTCCGGAACATTTGGAGGCCTACAAACACAAGAGAGTTCAGGCGACTTGTTGGATACGATCAGGCCCTGCAGCTTGTCCACCACCTCCACCAGGAGGCTCAGGGCCTGAGCGTTCTCCTCCACACTGTCAGTCATCCTCTCTGTCACAGCCACCATCCTGTGGCTCAGGTGGCGCACATCACCGCTGCTGCGCTCCATGCTGTTGGCCATGCTGTGCATAGCGGACTTGAGCTCATCCAGACTGCGCTGTTTGGTCAGTTCCAGGGTGTGGCGGGAGGAGCAGGGGGTCTGCAAGGTCCTGTGGGTCTGGAGTAGAGGACTGGAGGGAGCAGTGTGGGGATAGGAGCAGATCCCAGAAGAGAAGCCCACAGAAGGGGACTGAGAAAAGCAGGTAGAGGTGCTGTACGGTGTTTGAGTGCATGTCCACTTTGGCAAGTGATTTTCATAGATGCCTTTCTCTGTGTGATCAGTCAGGTGAAACAGAGATTAATTGTCGAGTTAACAAGAGAACAGGAGTTAATGAGAGGTTAAAAGGTGAAAGATATCATATATTAAGACTGAATTCAGAGGCAAATTCAACAATACAGGAAAATGATTCAGTACTGGGCAAAAATCAGTGACCACCCATTATTTACTTAATTGTGAGCCAAAAACTGGGATTCTTGAATTCATTTTCAGGATATATTTCTGAGAAGATTAGATATAAGGTAATCCACTTGCATCATGAAATAATAATAAAAATAAGTGTAATAACAGGAGTTTCCAGATCTGGAGTTCAGAAATGATCGAAAGATTTGGAGAAAACGGAACTCCTAACAACCGTGCAAGCCTGGAAAACCGTCAAAACTGCCATTAAGTAAACAAGTCTAAAAGCTATTATCTCTAATAGAAAATTAAGCTCTACTCCTGCTTCAGATCTGAAAAAATCTACAGGTGTTCCTGTCCTCCTTTTACTAAAGACAACTCAGCAGGTCTGAAAGGATGTGCGCTGGTGTTCCCAGAACAACAGACTGGCCACCCCAGAGTCCAGACTTGAACATCATGGAATGTGTTTGGAATTACCTGGATCATGAGAAGCAGAAATCGCAACCATCTTTTAAGACTGAACTTTGGAGATGTGAAAAAATGCAGATTTCTTTGAAGAACTGAAAGAAAGTCTCCTAGAAACAATGGAAGCTGTAATAAAGGCAAAGACTGGACACAATAAATACTGAAATTTCTGATATTATATTTAGTTGTTGGTGTAAATTTTCTGTTCTTTGTTTCCTGACACTGAAAAATTAATAACTTTTTCTTAAATGGCTGCTTTGGCTAGAAAATAAAGAAATGAAAGGTGATCTCTGATCTTTGCACAGTACTGTGTAGAATCATAAAATATCTGTTAAAAATTGACACCCATTGACAAAGATTATTTGCCCTGTTGTCCATAGGCATGATATATAGACTGTACTGCGCTGTACTGCTGTCCACAGTGTCCTTGGATGTAAAAAATGTTCCTAAATTTTACAAAGATGCTTCACACTCTGACATACAGTATCGTTTACAAAAATGGTTCTTTATAGCCACTAGAAGGTCTTTTTTTCAGGGAACCAATGGTGGTTCTTCTAAGGCATCACCCTAAAAAACCTTTTTGTCACCTCTATTTTTGGCAGTGTGGACTTGAGCTTCCATCACTTTGACAAGCTTTAAAAAGAGGTTTTAACCTTTCGTCCATAGCCATGAAGTAAAAAAGGCTTTTTAATTCATAGCAGAGATCCAAGAAAATTTATGTTAATACAGAAATATCCTTCAAATGGATTCAATGGACTGGAAAAAAGCATTTCATTGAATGCCAAGTATTCTGTCAAAAAGACATCAAGGCCACACAGATGAAAGAACCCATATGCATGTCAAAGTCTCCATGCTGACCCAACACTCCTGCTCTCTTACCCACAGGCACTGAGCTGCAGACGGCTGGGGCAGACTGGTTTGGCCCTCTTCCTGGCAGCTGGCCGTTATGGAGGCATGGGCTGCAGTTGCTAGTAGACTGGTAGTTGGGCAGCGAGTGGGGCTGGACTGTATGCGGGGTGTGCAGCAGGCCAGAGGATACTGATAGACCCCCTGAGGCCTGCAGGGAGAGATCCTCACCTGGGTTTGTAAGTCTCACCAAGGCAAGCCGCCTCAGGCTTTCTGAGTGATTGCACATCCCACCTCCAACACTCTCATCAGTGAAAGACAATAACATTAAATACTAAATAAAAGTATATTATGTTTTACTATATGTAGATTTTTAAAACAATCTTGCTGGCCTGAGTTGTCAGATCAGGGTCAAATTACTGTAAAAAATCTGAAAAGTGAGAACGATGAATAGCAAAAAGAAACATATTACTAATAAAAGAAGCTTTATTCTGTATCAGCAAGTCCTACAAATCAAGAATTAATAACCATCGTGTTGAAATCCTGACATTTCATCAATGTTGAAGCACTGAAAATTTTGAAAAAAAAAAATCTGATGCACCTTCACAGCAGCTTTAAAGAATCCTCAAATCTAACAAAAAATAGCATCATTGCATAACAGTCCAATACTTACCACTCATGACAGAGAGCACAAACAACATATTATTATCAAAAAGTACTGCATTACACAACAACATAAACCAACTGGCAGTAAAGTGTTATTAAAGTAAGACTCTCACAAAAACATATGTCATGCTTATGGAGTGTGTGAAAAGTCTGATTTTCCTCACCAGAGGTTGCTTGTTCTTCACAAGGCAGACGATCCTCATGGCCTCCTCGTCCTCAGGCAGATCATCAGGGAGAGGTGGCAGCACTGGACTGTAGTCCTTCTGAGCCACAGAATCATGCGCTGAAAGCAGAGCCTGTGGAGTGAATGAACTCCATAAATATGCTGGGCCATTATGTTCAACATTAGAGCTCTTACAAAATGACAATCAATAGGAGTAGCATTCAGAGCAAAGCAATAGAAATTTAATATGCTATTTGTGACTGTAGAACATTACCAAGCCCTGTTGTAAGTCTTAGAGGGGAATTCCAACAATTTTTCTAAATTTTTGTATATTTAACACATAAGATTTAAACAGTCATTCAGAGTGAGATTTTTTTTCTATATTTTAGTAGTATTGGACATGTACACTAGTATAAAGCATGCACGTGTTAAGAGTCAGGGTTCCCTTTAAGATGGAAATGGTCACTCAGTGTGGTTTAATGTGCAATGCTCCATTCTAGAGAAACTTACAGATTAAGAATTGTTCACGGTGGTGGTGATACGAACCAGACAGCCAAAGTGTTTAATTTTGCTTCAACATTGCATTGTTCTCTGTAATATTGGATATGTAGAACTGTAGGTGTTTGGATTAATTTATGTGATCCAACAAGAATTTACATAATCCAACAATCTTAAATACATTTGGCCAAATCAGTTTAGACCAATTTTTAACCATGTCCCATCAAGTTCTTAACACACTATATGTCCAAAAGTATCTGGACACCTCTTTTAATCAGTGAATTCAATGGTGCATAACAAAATGGGACATTCTGGTGCAGCTGCACATCAGGACAGAAAGCAGTGATTTATAAATCTACACTGATGGTATTTCAACAAAACAGTACAGTGACAAGATATGAAATTGTTTTTTATAAAAGTATTTTATAAAATTTAAGACTAGAAACATAGTGAAATGTTCAAAAAACAAAAATGTAATGTAATCATGCTTGAATATAAAATAATTTATTTAGGAAAGGCCTAGTCCTTTATGAGCTAGGACGAGCCAATGCTTGCCAAAAATGCATCAGCAAAAAAATACAACAGTTTACAAATAATGTTCCTCAGTGAGTGACTGCAAGGATTTTAGTTATGTCACCCTCTGCAGAGAATATTATCATCAAAAGATTCAAATAATCCAGAAAAGTCTCTGTGCGTAAAGGGCTAGGCCGAAAACCACAACTGAATATCTGTGACCTTTGACCCCTCAGACATTTAAAAAACAGCATGCTTCTGTTACAAATATCACCAATACTTTGACAAACCGTTGTCAATAAACAACGTTTGTCTCTGCAAGTTAGCTATGCACAATGGAAGCCATACGTCTACAAAATCCAGAAATGCTGCAGACTCCTCCGGACTCCAGCTCATCTGAAATGGACTGATGCACAGTGGAAACATGTATTGCGGTCTGATGAATCAACCTTTCAGATTATTTGTGGAAATAATTGACGTTGTGTTTTCTGAGCCAAAGAGGACCATCCAGATTGTACCTATGTAACCTTCAAAAGCCAGGGTCTGTCGTCATCTGTGGGGGCGGGTTTAGTGGGTAAATGGAACATCTATGAAAGCACCATGAACACTGAACACATTTTGGAGGAACATATGCTTTTACACAACGTCTTTTTCAGAGCTGTCCATAGTTTTTTCAACACAACAACACCAAAGCAACATTCTGCACCTGTTACAAACAGCATGTCTGTATAATCAGAGGGTGTGGACAGGCTGGCCTTCTTGCAGTCCAGAACTGCCTTCCATTGAAAATATGTGTCTTATTAAGCTCAAAATATGATAACAAAGGCCCTGTACAGCTGCAAAGTTGAAGACTCGTATAACAGAAGAATGGCAAAAAAATGCTTTCAAAACTGGGTTCATTTGTGTCCTCAGTCCCCAAATGTTTATTAATACTGTTAAAAGGAAAGGTGATGTAACAAAATGTCCCAGCATTTTTGGAATGATTGTATATTTGCAAAAAACAAGGAAGCCCATAAACCTTTGTGTTTTTGTACTGTTTTCAATTTAATACAGGTCAAACAGAATTTACTGATGACTGCCTTCTGTTTATATTAGCATTTCACACACTGTCCCAACTTTTTGGAACTGGGGTTGTGCATGTCTCAGTCGCAATATCTAGCAGTATAACAGCAGTATGGTATTGTGTTCATACGGTGAAGCTCTGCTCTATGTTATAAGCAACAGCATCCACAAACCAGCAAAGCCTGACAACTCAGTCATAACCACCTGAGACCACTTTTCATTTTGCACACCTGGAAATGACGTGCTCTCAGCAGCATGTAGAGCTCCTGGGCCTCAGGGGAGGGGGCAGTCAGCGACCTCATATCTCTCATAATCTGTGGACAGACCAGAGAGGACAGAGCAGAGGTCAGTTGCAGTAAGCGGATATGAAGAGCAGCTGCTAAGGGGTTGAGAGAGGTTTCTAACCTCCTGAGAAAGTGCTGAAGCATAGAGGAGACATGGACTGGGGGACGTTCTTGTGTACTCCAGCAGACACTCATACACCTGCAAGAGAGAAATCAAAGAACATGAAAAAAGCCATGTATAGACTGTTCAGACAATAAGTAAGTCTTATCTTGAACTATAATGGATTTTCTTGAAACATCACCCAGAAATAGGCCTAATCTGTGTGCAGAACATTGGTCCAGATGATTTGTGTATCAAAACCAACTTAGCTATTAAAGTACAACCATTAAAGCTTATCCCTGTTATTTAAAGCAGTATGTTTCAGCTCTGTCCTTGAGGCCACCAGACAGTTCATGTTTTTATCTCTATCCTAGCAGAGCACACCAAAACCGAACCAGTAAGAACAGTACACACCTATACAGGGGTGCAGTGAGTTAGGTTACACTAATAGCACCAAAATGATTCTTTGCAGCAATTCCATAAAAGAACTAACTTTGTTTCCCTGAAGAACCTCTCAAGGATGGTTCTTTAAAGAAATATTCCAGCCTCATTGTAGTCTATAGCTGTAGGCCACCTACTGACTTTTATAAGTGTGGTTTGAGCCAATTATTTTTCTGTTCTTTTATGGAGTACAGAAAAGCATCTAAATTACTGTCTGTGTTAATTACACACAGCATATAGAGATCACCTTGAAAGATGCTGGAGTATATCTAAAGCAGTACGCAAAGCCGATTAACCTATTTAACATTTTGTATTTCAGTGATATACATGAATATGAATCAGCGCGGCTTCTGTAACAGTGCTGTGTTACAGTTCATCCATTCACAAGCATTTATGTAAATGACTCAGCTGAGTTAGCCCATCAGAATAGAGACAGCAGGGCTAGATATGAGGTCATAAAGTGAACAATTTCACATATTTTAGATATTTAGGTTTATTTACTATTTCTGGTCTGAGTAGTGAAGTGACAATGTAGCTTGTTAAAAATCAAAACAAACAAAAAAGTAATGCTGATGCCAAAAACCCTACCACAAAACCAGCATATGTTGTGTTTTGGATGCTGGTATGCAGGTCAACCAGCATGATCATACTGGGTGACAAACTAAACCAGCATGGGATTCGTGCTGGTCTGAGCTGTTTTTTTCAGTAGTGAACAAAGTGTTTATAAACAAATGAACAGAGAACTCTGTTTTTCTCCCAGTTTTAATTTCAAAAGAGATGTGTTTCATCTGATCAGAGTCTGTGGCGCTTGTTAAAATCAGAAACGTTATGCGCCACTGCAAAACAAATCACTTCAAGTACCCTAACAACAACCACCAGGTCTGAAGACAAATAAAATAAACCCAAAGCTCAACATAAAAAACACACCAGAGTGTTCGTCCATCCTCTTACTACAAGAAAGCATGAAATGTTCATTAAGTCTAGCCTTTATTGTGATTATTTTATTTTATAGAATCTTATTCTATTTTGTTTTGCCTTTTTGTCTTCTTTTTTAAAAAAACTTTTTCCTTTCAAAAAGATTTTCTGCTGTTTTTAATGCTCATTAAATTACAAAAGTACTTTCAAAATGAAACCGTTTATGAAAATATACTGTGTCATTTTATTTTATGACTTGCCTGAACTAATAAATAAGTATTTAAAAGTATCAGTTGTCACCATTTACATGTTAGTTTGTTTATCTGGAAGCAAGACATTTAATGTAACTGGACCTTTGTAAGTTTTAGTTGACTTTGTGGCATCACTCTAAAAACTGTTTTTTTTAAGAATGTGTAAAGCAATGCATAGAGCAAACGTGAAAATCCTCAGTGAGGAGGTGCCTTTATTGACAGTTAGTGAGATATAGAAATGAACAGGATGGTGTGTGACTGACCCTGAGCAGAGAGTTGAGCCAGGGTGCACTGAGCAGACTGTGGAGAAGATCCGCTCCATTTATGTCTTTATCTATAGACAACCTCACCTCCTCCACCACATCCTCTAGGATCTTAGTCAGACCTGCACAGAGATAAAGACAGGCAGACAGACAGACAGACAGACAGACAAAGAGAGAACAAGAAAGACTGAATATCTCAAACTTTTATTAGGTCATTGTTCATAATTCATTGCTCACGAGTCATATTTGTGCTCTTAATATGATCCTGCTGGCACATGTTTTAGTGTACTTTGGTGTATTGGGCAGTGATAATTTAGCTCTATACCATAAAACCAAATCAACTGCAAAACCTTATATGCAGTTACATTTTATTCCGTTCAAAAAACAAATATCAAGAAAATCTGATCAACATTCAGACAATGATCATTCAGCATAATCCCTCTTCCCTCTTTCAACCAAGATTGTGTTTCTATTCTCACTGTGTTCGTGAAGTCCAGGGTGAGTCATCGGCTCTGTCTCCACACACTGTCTCATGGCAGATGCTTCTTTTCTTTAGATCACTGAGGTCCTATGAAATAAAAACCCACAAAAACACAATTTTACCACATAACAGAAGGAACAGGTGCTGTATAAGTTGGCCACAGTGACATTCTGGCTAGTATACAGCACACTGGAAGAAGTACACTTTCAGTATGCTGCCCAAATCTCAGGCGACCTGAGCAGAACTGCCTAGCAGAATGTTTCTTAATGTCCATATTGATTCATCATCCTGTTTGGCTCCAAAACACTGATACAGAAATAGTTCAATGTTTTAAGAAACTGAACCAATTCTTATTCTGCAGGAGCAGAAGAGACTACTGCAAGATGTCATGTTTAAGCAGACCATGCTAATGATCTTCACCGTATCTAGCCTGTTCAGTGCACATGTTCCATCAGAGCTATGAGGACCAGTGTTGATTCTCCTTGCATCAAAAATAAGTCGTGCAGACAAGGTCAAAAAGGCTCATCACTAAATAACAGTATGAGAAGACAGCGCACATAAAACATTGTATAAAATCAATTAAGTCTTCATAACTAAGGAATCCAGTGAGGTAAAACATGACAGATGCAGTTCATGCTCTCACCACACTGTTCATCAAGGCTTTTAATATTCCTCTGAAGAATTTTGTAAACAGACATTGTGCATTACTAATTCATTTTATCATCATACCAATGATGAACTTGACAACTACTGTTATGAGCCGTTAAGTCTGTTTCAGAAAATCTTCCTCCCCAAAAGGCTACAATTGCTTTTTTCATTCAACCAGGCCTTCCAGTTTAATGTAATTCAACAATGTCAAAAAGTAGCTTTAATCAATGACCCTACAGCATCAGATACACTTACCTCACTTTCGCTCTCACTCCTAGGCTGGTTTCCACAATCAGGGGAGCAGGAGGGAGTGCACCATTCTATGCTATTTTTTTTTCTTCTTCTTCTTCTTTCATTTTGGGTGATGTTTAGCTTCTGCCCTGGTTACCAACATATATGTGATTTTACTCTAAAGAGTGGCCGGAAAAGCAGACAGTAATCCCTCTCTATCCTGCTTAATCCTGGGAGGGAGAGGCCGTTCCCCTGTGAGTTCTTCCACCACACCGCCTGCCACTCAAAGCTTCTTAACTCTTTCTGCTTGTAGGGCTCACATACACATTTACAGGCCAAAGACATCAAGAACAAGTCTGGTCCTGGTAAGTCAAGAGTTAAAAAGGAAATTGGATGCATGCAGCCAAATACAGTCCAATAAATCCACCTTCACTGATAGACCAACATCTGGGAGCCAAGACTTAACTCAGCCTAGCCTCTGACATTAACATTACAGAAAGACAAGACAATAAAGACAAGCAGTGATCGGATGTTGGCATGGAGGTATATATTGGGACATATCGCAGGAAAAAAAAACCAAAAAACAAACAAAAAACAAACACCAATCAAAAGTAAAAATGTCAGAGAAATATGCCTGTTTGTACTGTGCAATTTCTTCAGTTACACACAAGTAAAAAAGAGGTTTAGGCTCATTAACCCTTAACTCACTCAGTGGCTTTACCCCTCCCCCAGGCCAAGGCCAATGTGATGTAGTAGTTGGGGTCTTTAGACGATAAGAGTGGGTTATGTCTCCCTGGCACTTTTACTATCCATGAACGAGGAGAGGAAACAGAAAGGAAGACATTACACCAATTTCCAGCTGTGTCACAGTTAGTGTATAACAATGGGTGGCTCCAGAGAGGTCCCACACGGTCAGAGTCCAGCACGCCTCAAACACACCTAACTCATCTCATCAGTTGGTTTTACCAGTATTCTATCAGTGCTGGACCCCACACATTCAGGATCTGAGTTAGCCGCCCCTGCTGTACAACAAAAATAACGATGAGAAAAAAAAACAGTGACAATAATTTTGTTAAAAGGATTTATTTGTCACTTCATATATTAATTCAGTGAATTCAAAAATCTTAATCCTTTTACTGAAAATGGATTCAGCATGTTGCAGCAATTTTCTCATAGAACTCAGTTCAGTTATAATAATAAACAGCTCATTATCACCACCACTATTATATTAGCCATTATGTTATTTGATGTTTGTCACCAGAGCCTCCCAAAGCATTGGCCACTCTTTACAGGAGAAATAAGGTATGGTCCTCTCTTTGATGGTTTTACATATATTATTTGTATGAATTTATGCAGTACAGAAGAAGGTCCTGAGTGCTATTAACCCTTAAGACGGCAAAATGCATGATACAAGTCATGACATACAAGAAGTAAGGGGAGAGTTAATAGCACTATTACAGGTTAATGAACAAATTCCAGTGAAATCACAAAACACTTTAAGCAGCTTAGTGTGATAAAGAGAGGTGCCTTATTAAATGTATAATGTCTGTATGTAACAGCAGTGTTGTATTATTTGTACTGTTACAAAGTTCCAGATACAGATTGCTAGGATTTCCATGGAGATTTGCCAATTTATTTGAAGACCTGCTTAATCTGTGCTTAATCTGAGTAGCAATTAATTTGTATATACAGCAAAATATGCAGAAATATTAAAATATTTTAAACTATAATCTGTGTTTTGTTATAATATTGGCTGTGCTTAGGACAAACCTCCCAATACTTTCAGAAGGGAAAGCTTACAAACACAGATGCAGTGTAACATATAGATGTCTGAACAAAACCTTATAACTCAATTTTTGTATTTTTTCAATCTTCTAACCACCTGAAAACACCAGCGGTTATGATTTTATGAAGAAAGGACCAAAACAAAAGATCCAAAATTACTTAGAATAAAATCTTTAAACGCTGAATGTTAATGTTTTCCGTTAAATGTTAAAGTTACTATTTTGTAGATTCAAGGTTTTGTTCTGACAGTGATGATACATACATGTGCACGTGCACTCAAACACACAAAAATATATACAAACACAATCAAAGACATGTACATACACTTAAACACAGTACTATGCTAATCACCCACTCCACATTAGGCTTTTCCCGCAATTTGTGTCTTCTAGAGTCTTAATACTATGAATAAATATATTGATTTTACGTTGGCAAATCTTGGCAGTGCCTAAAAGTAGAAAGATCAACCTCTCAGCCATGTGACAGGCACTATTTGTTCGAAAGAAAATTAAAAAATTCAGCATTTATAAAAACATTTAAAAAAATAAAACAGGTAAGCTCTTCCAATAGTTACATAAAGCAGAATTCTGCAGATGGCCTAGGTATACTATATCCAAATGTTCAGTAGTTGTTATTTCCTCATGATACATTCAGTACATCTGTCTTCTCAGCCAATTAAACAACATATTTCTCTAATAAATACGTTCCAAAAAATTCCAGTGTTTGTGTGCTATAAAAATACAGTATGATCTAACAATTGTTATAAACGTCCTCTTTTCATGTTTTCATGTTTATGGAAAATGCTAATTATGTTAGAGCGCCACTAAAGACTTCTTATGACGATTGAGGGTTGACCTCAAAGGGCTGGTATGGCTGCAGGTTTTCATTCCAAGAAAGCAGGAGCACACCGATCTACTGCTGAAGACCACCTAAATCAAGTGTGTCCGATCTTATCCGCAAAGGGCCGGTGTGGCTGCAGGTTTTCACTCCAAACAAGCTGAAGAACACCTGATTCTACTTGTTTAATCTGTTGGTCTTAGTCTTCAGACTTTTCATCAGGTGACCTCCTGCTTTGTTGGAGTGAAAACCTGCAGCCACACCAGCCCTCTGTGGATAAGATTGGACACCCCTGACCTAGTTGAACAAATGGAATCAGGTGTGCTCCTGCTTGTTCGGAAGGAGAACCTGAAGTGGCCCTTTGCAGATAAGACTTGATACTCCCGACCTAAGCAAACTGCTTGCTCATAGTGGGGCAGAAGCCGTTGTATGTAGTAACAGCAAAGAGTGTGAAGTGTGCACAAGGCAAGTAACCATCTAGAGTGCAGTTGGCTATGAATGTAACAAATCAGTTAAAACCACTGAAGATCATTTATATCTATGCTCTAACACCACACTGAGCACTGTGGGAAAATGTGAATTCTACTCAGTGCTAGTATACAAATCCCTTTTCAGTCCAGTAACAACCTGTAGACTCTTCAAAGCAGCTCACCATAAAATGTCCATGTCTAAAAAGCAGCAAATAAAATCAAAAGAGTTCACAAATTAGACTTCTGTGTGAATACTGTGGGGAAATCATCCTCTTCAGGACTGTCATTGTTGGGTTTTCTCTCACTTTGTCTTTTTAGACTATTTCCAGTGCATTTGACCACAAGGATAACTTCCTCCTGGGCTGACCATACTGTGGAACCCACTGCATTCGAAACTAAGCGCTAAGGTAAAGACCTGATGCCAGACATCACTTCACACGAATACATCTGCATTTCTAGAAGCTTGTAGTCTTTTCATTCTGAATCTGGTAGTAGCACGCCTGTAGAAACAGGAGACAGAATGCAAGCACATGTGTGAGAGACTCTTCAAATTAGCGCTTGGAAGATATGATATGTTAACCTCAACACACCTACAATTAACTACACAAATGTGTTCTTAATACACTGAATCTGATACTGTGTCTGAGGTCACACACTGTGACACTTTCATTCATACTTTGAGAGTAGTGAACATCAGTCCAAGTTCTCCATGCTGTAGAGCAGGATCCATCAAGTCCTCTATGAGGCTCACTTCAGAGCCCAGGTTTCTGATCCTGAATTCACACACAAACATCTAACATGTAAGGAAATCTACAGACTGGACACATTATTAATTAACCTACACGACTTTTGACTGTACTGACTGCTCATATTAGAATAGCATTCAGCCAATGTTGAAAGTACATACTTTCTTATTCAGCTCTAAACCCAACACCTACAGTGGTTCTGCAATCCACAGTAGCAGAGTAAAGCAGCGTTCAAACAAAAAAAAAAACTCTCCAACTCCACAAGGATAAAAAAAAATGTACGAATTTTTCTTTTAGACCTGTTGTTTTTTCACGACTTCTAACACGTTTTTGTTCAAAACAGCATATATAATACACAGCAGCATCTCTCTATTCCTTTATTTTACTTGTTTCCATCAAACTGACCTGTAATGCTAAAAATGTTTTACTGTTGTCGTGTACAATTGTCTTTACCAATAAAATAAGTTGTGTTTTAATGTTTCTATCTCTATCTCTAAGTATTACTGTTACATAAGTGTGGTTTCAGTTTCTGTTTATTATCTCTTATTTTTCATTAGTTCTTTTGTGTTATAATGTTATTATCATGCTTTGTATTCAGCCTGTATAGCTGTCCTATATTTAAAGAGGGGGTGACTTTACCCTATTGTTGGAAGGTTGTAAGTTTGAATCCTAGCAATGTTGTGAAAAGTTATTGTCAATATTTTTGTGGAACCTTATAAAACTGTACATCGTTAATTTCAGTATAATACCTCTTTATGTATTATGTTATGTATATTACCTCTTTACCTAAGCACTGATTTTACCAAATTTCTTGTACATGCAAGGTCAAAATAGTCATTCTGGTTCTGGGGCCTCATTTACACAACATTCATATGCACAGATTTGATCTTAAAAGTGATCGTATGAGAAAATTAACATTTAAATTGTGATTTATTAAAAAGTGAATTGGACATGGAAAATGTGTCTAGATGAATGCAACGTAAACCTGATGTACAAACCGCATTAGGGTTCGTGATTTGTGAGCGTTGTGTTTTTATTAATCGAGTGTATGCAAACAGAACTTAAGAACAAGTTTAGAATAAAATTCAAATGTGTTTTATAAATGAAGACATTGGTTCCTAAAAACTGAACCTGAATCTTCAGGATTCATGCTCACATTTTCACAGGCACACAGCAGATGATCAAATGTGAGGTTGTATAACATAAAGCCTACCGTGCGCGGAGAACTATATAGAGGAAGATTGGGAAGAGGTCATCCATGCACCACAAAAAGTCCTGACCTAGTAAGGCCTGCACTTCCTGTGTGACTTCCTCAAATGTCAAATGAATCACCTGAAGCTTATCTGCAGGAGTGAATGTTGTACTGCAGAAAAGAGATTATACAAATGTGAAAGTGAAAGACAACAGGAAACCACAAAGAGAGTCACCCAGCAAACAGTGTGGTGCACAGCTTTTTAACCTGATCTGTTGCAGGGTCTCCACAGCAGTAGAAAAACAAGCATCTTTAGTGCTAGGCAGCACCTGATAATTAGGAAAAGGACACATAAAACATCTAATTCTTATCCTAATAACATTGATAGATAATGTATCATCTTACAATTTTCAAAGAACAGTACTTTAACAAACACATATTGTTTTATGTAAAATCAGAGCATTACCTCTTTATTCCCTCCCAGAACAGAGATTGAGACAGGCCAGAATTTTCTGGAAAGCAAAAAAGAAATATGAAGGTGATGCTCATACTAAAGGCTGTAGATGTGAAAAATATTGATAAATTGATAAATTTTCAATGAACTAGCCCTTTAAGAACACTATATACAGTAAGTGCATTCAGACTGCACAGCGGGGTGTTAATGAGAAGGTGATTACATGTGTGGTAAACGTGTGTGAGTGCTAGTTCAGTGACTCACTCAGGCACTCCCAGGAAGGTGAGCAGCGACAAGTCAGGCTGCTTGTTGAGGCGTAACACACATTCCCAGTACACCTGCTCTTCTCTCTCACGCTCCAGCGTGTACAGCATGAAGAGAGGGGGATAAAGACGAGGTAACAAAATTGGCAGCAGGAGACTGGAGCTACTCACAATCCAGCTGCAACACAAAAGCATAAAAACATATCTCTCTAATGCGTAGTCTCTTACAGATAGTTAATCTAACAGGCGCAGGATACGGTACAAAGTTACATGTTACAGTAATGTTACAGTAGTAAAGTTTAAATTCTTGTAATCACATAACAGTTACTGATATAACAAGAAATTCATTACTTGTGTTACTCATATGCCTTTAAGAGAACACTTATTAATCATGCGCGCTGTATTTAAAACGTACACTATATGGACAAAAGTATTAGGACACACCTCTTAATCATTGAATTCAGGTGTTTCCTTCGGTCCCACTGCCACACATGTATAAAGTCAAACACCTAGCCTCTGGATTTAGAATGGGATGTCATAAAAGCTCCTGTAGGTGTAATGTGTAGGTGTCCCTGTTTTTAAACTGTTTCTTTTGGATATTTTCTATGTTTCCTTACAACATTAGCTGTTCAAAATCTGAATCAAGCATAACAGGCTGTGTCTTGAAAAGCAAGGATAGTGACATGCCTTTAAAATGTGTTTACTGTAATTGTTTAATAGATTAGTAAAGATTACTAAAGATTTTTGAGTTAGAGAGTAATGCAGAAGTAATGAGTAGCGAGATTTTTTCAAGAGGAAATCAGCATTTCCTGATTCCACCACAGCTTGAGAGAAGTAATCAGTAACTTGTGATGGATTGCTTTTGCTGAGTAGCAACCCTAACGCTGATAGGCACACACAGCTTTTCACCACTAAAACATGACTATTCTTACACGAAGATTTTCCTTGATTGTAGAGGTGGGCAATATGGCATGTTTTCATTACTGTGATAAATTTCAACCACATTTTCAGAAACACAGATACATCTATGTTTATACTCTTGGTCTTACCCTTGCTGGACTGTGTCAGAGTTGGTGCTGCTACACAGGGAGTCACTGGCGCTCCTCTCTGAGGACTCAGGGATGAAACCCCCCTCTTCAGGCAGACCAGGAAACAGAAACCTGTGGAAATCACAGGAGAAGAAATGCCCTTATCTTGCCTTCACAAGACCAGTTTGCACTTAGCACTGCTAAATACAGCAAAAAACATCTGTTTAATTCAAATTCCTCCTTTGGGGGACAATTAAAGCTCTACATACTAAATTTAACATACAACTAAGTCACAAAATGACTTTTCTGTACTGTGGTCTGAAAACCTACCCTAAGAAAAAAGTAGTGTGAGCGCATATTAGCACATACTGAACACTAAAATCAGTTCCAGAACTGATACTTGAGATTGTAAATATTATGTACATAATTTATGCAATTATACAAAACATGTAGATAGAATCAATTTATATTTAAAAGTAGAATTTCAAAGTGAAATCAGCACAAATGGACAGTGCACCAGTCTTAAACTAAATCTGGAGACATCCAAATCACTCGAGAAGTTACCTAACCAGTTCGAATATGCGTTTCAGGTAGGACTGGATCTCCTCCACTGCCTGCTGTAAAAGCCTCCTGTTTGAGCCCACACCCACATATGTCATTCTGTACACAGTGACCAGAGTCTCCAGCAGCCAGCCCAGAGGATGCAGAGGAGTATCACATGCCTAGGAGAGGTTATAATATGTGAAATAAAAACAAAATCAATGTCTGCATATAGAGCAATGCATTCATAACAGACAAGAGCCAAGAAAATCACAATTAGATTTGCAAGTTGTTTACAAATGTGAGCTTTGGCATGTACTTTAAATGGAATGCTCTTCCAACAGCCAGTGTATTTCAGTAAAAATATAAAATGTTATACAACTGCCAAATGTGAATTTCATTTCTTATGATTGTCAGTGAATATTCTTTAAATGCCTATACACAAAGCCCCACAGTTTTCTTATTGTATGATCTAACTAACTGCTTCTGTGGGAAAAAAGTGGTCTCACCTTGATGAGGTAGCGGCGGATGCTGTCATAGACTTCAGCAGTAACAGGTCCCATGTGCTGAGGAATGACCTCCAGACTCTCCAGCATCTTACACTGTGAGCGGCTCATAGTTCCTGGACTGAACACACTGATATGAAAGAGTCATTACTGCATCAGTTCATGACTACTGTGTGTACGTACAGTGGTATCAAAAAGTACTTGGACACTTTAATCACGTAATCATTAGTCAACTTCAATGAAATTCTTTAGGATACTTAATAAAATGTTTAACAAGCACTGTATGTACACGTCTCTCTGCTGTCTGCAGCTGGTTGTTAGGATGACTGCGATGTTCTCCCAGGCTCTCTCATTCTCTCCCTGTCCTGGAGCTTCACAGCCTAGCCGGCTCCAGCATTCCTCAAACACAGCCCTCCACTTCTGATCTGCAGGAACTACATAATGACCAAGCACTCTACACATACATACATACACACACACACACTTCATCTAAAACAGGCCAATCTTTCTGACCTCACATATGCTTTACATGAGATAAAAATCAAACATTTGAGTGTCAGTGGAATACTCACAGTGGCTTACTCTCCTTCTTCTCAGTCTCATAAAGACATGGCTTTATAAAAGTGCCAGCTACCTTCAGTTCAGAGCCCCATTCGCCCACAAAGATGCCGTCAAAAGAGTCTCCATTAGGCATAGATAGGACACCCTACACACAACAATATTCCACAATATTATATATATAACAGTGAAAAATATCACCACACTGCATGACAAGAAAGTTCAAAGTTTGACTCCTTGTGCAGGCAGAAATGCCACTGCTTTAGCAATTATAGTGCTTGGGCAAGACTTAATTTACCTACCACTGTGAGTTGCTCTGGATAAAAGCATCTGCTAACTATATAAATTTAAATCAGACCTAATGTCTTGCCAAAATTAGCAATTCTACACAAGTTCTTTGGAACATCATTGTTATTTTCTGCTGTTTCAATAATACCTTTCCATTCAGCACCCAGTCCTCTGAAAACTCTCCTTCAAAGGCAGTGTCGTCTTCACAGAGCAAAAGCCCATTGCCCTGAAATAACAAGTGAGGGTACAGTTCCATGCCAGAATCAAACAATGTATAAGTGCTGCAACAAATGACTAGCACTCACCATCATCTTGTTATTACTAAAAGCTCCTTCATAATAGAGCCCAAACTGAGTAACAACAACACCATTCCCCTGTCGAAGATCCTCCAGCCACATACCCATGTACTTTTCTCCCCTAAGAGGAAAAACATTAGCAAAATAAAAGATAAAGGATACAACAGAATGTGACTAAAAAATGTATCACTTATTTCTCACTTATAGGTTACTGAATTTCCTGGAGAAATTCTGTTGAATGTGTAGATTCTGACCTTCCGTATTTGCCAAAACCATATTCCAATACCATATTTGTGTTTGTACATAGAAGATGCTTGTACATAGAAGTTAGTTGAATCTGACAAAAAGTTATTTTTGTGTATAGCCTTGTTTTGCATAAGAAAAAAACATTTTTTTTACATTTTTACATATTTCTTTACATTTTTATGTATGTTGGAACCAGACCTTTTAAACATCTCAGCACCATGATAAGTTTTAGCAGTCAGAAAAGTATGCTGACTGCACCATGTCCAAAAAAAATACATAAAAATAAATAAGTGCAGTACTTGGTGATGTCATCAAAGACGCCATAGCCATTTTTCTTGTCATGGAGCCAGTGGCCGACAAACACACTGCTGGATGACGGGGAGGCCAGTCGGCCACTGCTCAGCATGCCATGGCCATGACGTTGGTTCTCCCGGAATGAGCCCTCATACACTTCACCTGTGGCATACCTGAGGAGAAAACACACCCTGGATCAGCAGAATAGGCTGGAAACCAAGAAACGAGTTAACCACTTTAATCTAATCCCTCGCTACAACTCAAAATAACATGCATATTACCAGTATGTTCCAAAGCCATGCATTTTGCCCTCCTTCCAGTGGCCCTTGTATCGATCATACTTATTGAAGGTCTTATTGGGCATCATATAATCCCCGAACCTATAGACAGAGAACATATGAGGAACCAATGAGATGAATAGCCATTTTTAAACAGCTGGTGTGCATGTCCCCAGCTTATATACTGACCCATCCTCCAGACCATTCTTGAATGTACCACAGTAAACTCTGCCATCTGGCCACTTCAGCGTCCCTCTGTTGGGAGAGATGTGAAGCAGTACTTGAAACACCTGAGTGCTTAAGGCCGTAGATGGTTCTTTTGTGGACAGTTTCAGTTCAGATGATGTTTTTCATGTTCCACATAACAAATTAGCTATATATAGATAAAGAACGCTCTGTCATATGTCATATTTGTATGTGTGTTATGAGTTTTAAAACAAGCATCATTAATCCAATACATTTATAATAGGCATTCATACACATTCATAGCAGGTGGATTTAACAAAAAAAATCACAATACCAGTCATTTTATATAGTGGCCAACATATGCCTGATCAAAGGACAATAATCCCAATAATCTGCTTTTTTATCAAACTGGCTGACTGCAGCCTTAATCTTTGTCTGTGAAATATAGAAAAATCAATATCAAATAAAACAAATTTTTAAACATGCACTTACTTGCCATGAGGTTTTCCGGACAGCCAGCGGCCACTGTACATGGCATCTTTGAGTCTGCCTTCTTTTCTGAAGGTATAAGTAGCAGTGCGGGAGACAGGAGGCTCCACCCTCTGACTGCCACTCAAATTAAGGCCCCTCCTATCCAGACCCACACCCAGCACATTGTCCACAGCCTGGTTTATGGCCTTCAGCCACTTACCCTGAGCAGAGAGAGAGAATGTGAGAAAGATAGAGCGAGAGCAAGATGTGATTAAAAAAAAAGAGAGCAATAAAACCCAATTCCAAAAAGGTTGGAACAGAATTGAAAATGCCAATAAAAACAGGAAGCAGTGATTATTACATTCTGTTTTGTTTGATCTGTATTAAAACATGATTTTATGTTTTATCTTATGAACTTCATTGTTTTTCTGTAAATATACATGCATTCCACATTTGACGCCTAAAGCACATCCCAAAAAGGTGAAACAGGAGCATGTTAACACTGTGTTACATCACCTTTCCTTTTAACAGCACTTCATAATTGTAAAAACAACTGAACGGGACATTTGTTGTCAGGATTTGCACTTTAAAACGCACTGCACGCTTTCAATAGGAGACGGGCAGGCCAGTTTAGCACGCACTCTCTCTGATTACGCAGCCATGCTGTTGTAACACTCACATCATGTGGCTTGGCGTGGTCATGCTGCAAACATTTTGCCAAATTCCCTGAATCTTTTGATGATGATATTCACTGTAGAGGGTAAAATACCTAAAATCCTGGCAAATGGTTAATGAGAAACATTGTTCTTAAACAGTTGGTCTCTTTACCGATGCATTTTTTGGCAAAGCCTCAACCCCTCCATGCTCATAAAGGACTAGGCCTTCCTTGAATGCTCCTTATATGTTCAAGCCTGATTACATCACCTTTTTTAAAACGTTTTCTGAACATTTAACATTCCTAGTCTTAAATTACTCCTGTCACAACTTTTTGGAAAATGTCAATTTCATGCATCAATTTCAGAACGAGTGCATATTTATAATATAACAATTGGGGTAATAAGAATTTACAAATCACTGCTTTCTGTTTTTATTTGCATTTGATACACTATCTCAACCTTTTTGGAATTGGGTTTGTAAATGGCCTGGATCAGCGCTGATCAGTATCAACAGGCCACACACTAAATATAAGGAGGAGTATGAGACTTGTACTTTCTCCAGCGGGGAAGATGCCAGCACTGTGAAGCTCTCTTCAGGGGTCGTCAGCTTCAGTCCCAACCTGATAACATTATCGGAAAGCTAAACCTTATTATACACAGACTCTTTCTCTACTATAAACCTCATTACAAACAGACTGTTTCTCTACTAGAGATTTCTGCTATAGCTTTCTTTATTCTTGTCTTGGACAGATATAGAAATGACAATTAACACTCCTGAGTCAATAATCAGCTTCTTATCAAGACCATTAATGAGCTGAAGTGGGTGTAAGACCAGAGGAAACAGTAAACTGCAGCGCTGTTTTTTTCTAGAGCTGCACAAGAGAACTTTGCTTATGATGTCATGGAGGATACCACAACATTAAAATATCTTAGGAATGCTACATATAAACCGATCAGCCATAACATTAAAATCATCTCTTTGTTTCTACACCCATTGTCTATTTTATCAGCTTCACTTACCATACAGGTGCACTTCTTACTTCTTTTAATTACAGACCGTAGTCCACCTGTTTCTCTGCATACTTTTTTAGATCCCTTTTACTCTGTTCTTCAATGATCAGGACCCCCACAGGACCACCACAGAGCAGGTACTATTTGGGTGGTGGATCATTCTCTGCATTGCAGTGATACTGACGTGGTGGTGGTGTGTTAGTGCGTGTTGTGCTGGTATGAGTGGATCAGACACAGCAGTGCTGCTGGAGTTTTTAAACACTGTGTCCACTCACTGTCCACTCTATTAGACACTCCTACCTTGTTGGTCCACCTTGTAGATGTAAAGTCAGAGACCATAGCTCATCTGTTGCTGCACAGTTAGAACTACTAAGTGCATCTATATGGTAAGTGGAACTGATAAAATGGACAAAGAGTGTAGAAACAAGGAGGAGGTTTTAATGTTATGGCTGATCAGCATATAGTAAATTTATACTAGATCACCTAAACAGCTCAATGTTTAACTTACAAATAGCACAGGGTATGCTAGCCGTGTGAAACGACAGAATTTAATACTGAAATCTCAATTTGAAAGGCAATTTTAATTACATTGTATGATTAAACTTTGTCTTAATTTGTTTAATCTGGGGAAATTTGAGCAAATAATGCAGAGCCTGTGATCTCACAGTCCGGTATATTACATTTAGCATTCAAATCTTAAGCCCAAAGAAACGGATGTGCTGGTCTATTTGGGGAAAAAAAAGGCCTGGAACTTAATTTATGGAGAATAACCGCATTTGAACCACAGTCACAATGAGTTTTTCCTTAAATCGTTCAGCCCTATATGCTAGAACAATAACTAATGAATGTTTGGAAAGACAGGGTATGGAAGCAACTTACAAGCCAATATTTTCATCTGAGATGGGTTCTACCCAGAGCGTGGCCAGCGAATAGACAAAGTGAGAGGAGAACTGAAAAAGAGGCAGAGAACAGTGATATACACACAGCACACAATCCACTCGCAAGAAAGTGTGACTCATGTCTGCTGGCTCTGACACTTTGGAGAACAGTACTGTAAATCAGACAGATGTCATCAGTGAACTTTAGCATAGAGTTTTCACTGAAAGGAAACAGTGGCGAAATAATATGGTAAGACAGAGTGTTCGCAGGCATCTTCAAGTTAACTGCAATACCTTCCAATAATTATTTTAATGCCACTTCAAATATAATTTAAGTGATATCAAATATTGTCAAGTGTATGCCAGCCTGGCTCCAGTGCTTAAACAAACAATAGAGTAAGAGAGATTTGAATATTTAAACATAGTTTCAATGCAATGGAGAGGTGACAATAGAAGACTTTGAAAAAAAAGACAGCATCCACAAACAGCACAGCCGTCAAAAATCAAAGCTCAGAAGCGCTTACCAGAGAAACTGAAAATGCAAAAAGGAGGGGAACAGAGAGATTTAAGCATGAGGATGAAGATCTGTCTAGCGTCTGCTCAACTGTCACACAGATCTATTACAACTCAGGCAAAGAAGAGGAACAGAAATAATGAACTGATCAACATTAGACTTCATTTTGGGGACAACAACAAGCAATCTGCATATTGCATAATCACACACTAAACCAACATTCCAGAACAGCTTTGCAAACTCGGACTGAAATTTAGCACAAAGGTGTGTCAGCAGAATGAATCACAAATCACACAGGATTGAGGTCTGAGCAAAATAGACCACGTGGTGCAATCGGTAGGATAAAGCCTTCAGAGGTGCCTATAATGAGGAACACTCAGTATGGTTAGAGAGGAGGGCAGGCCTTGGCTTGAGACGCTTTTGAAATTATCTTGATTGTTTAGCAATTATAAACTGTAATTTTGGCCTAAAATGTCAATGTGAACATATGTGTGAAAATTACTGGCCTTCTGACTTCAAAATAGTTCAAAATGTCTGTTAAAAAAATTCCAATATGAAGTTATGCTTACATTTCAAGGCATAAAAACCTTGAATCTCCAAAATGGCAGTTTACAGCAAAAGGAAAAATGTTCCTAACTTAATGATGGAAGTTAATGTAAAAAAACTTTTTTCTCCATTAATTTTGGCCTGTGTTTGTTTGTCCATTCATTTTGAAATGTTCACACAGTGGAGAAAAAAATAGACATGAAAAAAGAAGACACATAGTTTTGTCCCAACAGAGACGATTTAAAGTCTCAATTACGCTGATCAAACTGGAAATAATCTTGTTAATGATAAAATATCTTGTTTTGGCAAAACAGTTTCGGCTTCAGAGTTTGTTTAAATTTTATATTATGGTGACCTGAAGTCACCTAAAAGTGTTCATTCAAGAAAAAAGTCCCAAGCCAAGTCCAGGGAACAAGTGATACTGTTAAGGGCCAAACTAAAATATACTTACAAATTTCTTAGATGGAATGGTACCCTAAGTAAAAAAGACAATTACGATATGAACTTGGATCCAAAACCACATGAAAAACCACAGATGAAAAACCTAGTATAAAGTAAAGGCAAGCACACCAACCTGTGCATGAACAAGTGCATCATTAAAGAGGATGAACCAGTTGACTGAAAATCTTCCTGCGTTCTGCAGAGTCAAACCTTTATTACCACTCTCACACACCAGTCGGCGAGATGGCTTCCGCAGGGATTCCTTAAAAGTAAGAAGGTAAGTAAATACACGCACACACATACACAAACAGTGAGCACAGTACAGTGGTGAACTGTGACTATTAGAGATAAGACTTCAGTTCAGGCCAAAAAATGTCAAAACACAGTCAAACACCAAGGGAAAACACTTCTATAATAATTCTATTTTCTGCTCACTCTCCTTTGGGTTTTCCAATAGTATGTTAGGGCTAAGCTAACACTGATGAACATGAAAATATTCTGGCACATTTAACATACTACAGTGACTATACCAGTAGATAGACCCGACAAAGAGCTGCCGTTTTCCATTTTCGAACAACTTCCAGCAGGTCTAGAGTGACATAGAGTGACAACCCATTGCAAAATTGGATCCACCAATCAGAAATCAGAACGTGATTTGTTGTTTCTACTGTCAGTTCCTAATTATTTTGCTGGTTAAAGTAATACTTAAGGGATTCAGCTCAGCCCCTGAAGGAGTTCTCATGGCTGAATCAACCTAGATACACAGGAAACATCCTGATTGGAACTATTTCCACTGGGCATTTCAAGATCTTTTGTTCTCTACCAACACTTAACAATAAAACAAGTGTATAGTATAACTTTTGTGGAGTTTAAAATACAACAACCATGATTATTCTATTAAAAAAATGAACACATTTTTTATTTCCCTGAAATCATTAGGCCTAGCAGGCCCTCGGGTTCCCAGTGCTACGGTATAATCCAAAAAATCAAATTTGCGCCAATTTAAACAAAATTGTCTTTTATTTTCCTGAGATTAAATCTGGGGCAATTCTGGAACTCACCAAGCTCTTTCCAGAGAAATTCTTCCAAAATACATGTGTAGTTTCTGCCTCTTTCCTCTGTCTGCTTAGGAGATGTGCCAAGGCCTCATACTGCAGGAAGACATCTTGAATCCTTTGATATTCCAAAGAAGTCTGAGAGAAAAAGATGGTTAAAATCCAATTCATAGCACCTGTGTGAGGGATTTTGAAACTGCTTCTGCACTCACCACATCAAAGCAAGCAGCCAGCTTCAGAAGGAGTCTGCCATAATCATGCAGGTGTTGCAGCGGCATGTAAAACAGATTCAGTAGCAAATCATTTGGTGAGACATTTTTCTCTTTTGGCTCAATCAGTTTCTGGACCAGATCCAGCTTCTTCCCTAAACATTCTCTGAAAAGAAATAAAATTGGTTTCATATCAGAAAAAGGACTCTAGGGTATCTCTAAGATGATGACTGAGGAGTTAAGAGAATTAGAAACGTACTGGGAGGGCTTCACCAGCAACTGGAATCCTCCCATTACAAAGAAGTTCCCTACAGGACCGCTGTAACTGTGGAAGAGGATTGAGATAACCAACATTAGTGATATCTCTTCATGACAATGATGATGCATTGGCTTCCATTGTACACTCTGCAGTACCGAGAAGGCAGTGTTGACAAAGGGTAAACAATAAAAAGACATACCTCTTATACGTTTCTAAGAAAATGTCTGCCTTTCTCAAAATGGCCAGAGTTTTAATGTCTCTGCTGTGCTGTAGGAAGTTGGTGAGAGAGGTGGCGTGCTGCCCTGTTAGATGGCACAGACGACTAAAACACCCTGCCACAGTCTGGAACAGATGCATGGAGGTTTGGCCCAGATATGATTTGAGACTCTCTAGTAAGAGAATTAAAAAATAAATATCCTCAAAAAAGAGTGGATCAGGTTACAATGTTTCAAAACACTCAGACACATACACATTCTATACTCCTGAATTCATATCAAGTACGTAAGACGATGAACAAACATAGATAGGACAAAACCTTAGATGGTTGTACCTTTGGGGAACCATATATAAGATACACCTTGTTTAACTAATAGCAGTACAAGCAGTCGCTGATGTTGGACAAGAGATTCACATCCAAAAGGTGTTCGATGGGGTTGAGGTCAGGGCCAGTCAAGTTCTTCCACACCTCACCCAACCGAGCCTTTATAGACCTTATTTTGTGCACTGGGGAACAGTCATGCTGGAACAGAAAAGGGCCTTCCTCAAACTGTTCCCACAAAGTTGGAAGCAAACAATTGTCCAAAATGTCTTGGTCTGCTGAAGCATTAAGATTTCCCTTCACTGGAACTAAGTGGTCTAGGCCAACCCCTGAAAAACAGCTTCATAGCATTATCCCTCCTCCATCAAACTTTACAGTTGGCACAATGCATTTCGTGAAGCTCCTAACACGCAGTTCTTTTGCTGATGTTGCTTCCAGAGGCAATTTGGAACTCTATAGTGAGTGATTCAACAGAACGCTTCAGCACTCGGCGGCCCCACTCTGTAAGTTTGTGTGGTCTAGTTCTTCGTTGCTAAGCTGCTGTTGCTCCTAGATGCTTCCATTTCACAATAATTGCACTCACAGTTGACAGGGGCAGATCCAGCAGGACAGAAATTTCATAAACTGACTTGTGGCAGAGGGGTCATTCTATGACAGGGCCATGTTTAACGTCACTGAGCTCTTCAGTACGACCCATTCTACTGCCAGTGTTTGTCTACTGAGACTGCAAGGCGCACAAGCCCACAAAATTTCACATCGGTCAGGCCCTAGTGCCCAGCTCAGGTCCAGCCTAGTTTGGTCTTTAGGGTGTCAGTCAAACACACCTGATTAAAGTCAGCAGTTAACTAACAAGTTTAACAGATGTGTCTGAGTAGAAAAATCACTAAACTGTGCTGGACTTAAGACCTGAAACTGGACACCCCTGCTTTAAAATACTGTAATCTCAATAGAATTCTCAAGGCTGATACTCACCCCGGGCCAGTAGGGGCCGCAGTATCTGGCTCTTTACTCTGCTCAGTGTGCAGTAGAACTTTCTCTCTGCTGATGCCAGTTCATGCAAAGTGGCAATGAAACCCATCACATTCTGATCAGCCAGAGCCATGCAGTCTAGCCCTCCAGCAAAAACACTGCTCACATAGCCAATCTGTAGATACATACATAATATTCCGCACTAATAATCATCCTTGCTGCTACAACAATTATGTGCACAATCAGTGTGTACCTAACACATTGTATTTTGCCAATATGCAATATTCTTGATTTAAGAGGTTTATGGCTGAATACAAAGCACTACACCTACAAATACTTCTGCACTCTACCACAGCTCTGGTTTTAATTAAATTCCAACAATCATGATTGTTATTGGGCAACATTGCAAAAACAGTCATACTAACATTCATGCAGAAGGGCAGCAGGGCAGGTGTCTGAGTGTATGTTCCGGTGTTAGAGTCATCCTGCACCAGCACTTGCTCTCCACTGTAGTACAGTATAGGCTGGAAGCAATCACCATCAGCTAACAGTACAGTGTGGGTCTGTCCACCAGCTACATCCCACACACGAATACCTTCAGACATCTACAACAAATGCAACAGCCAAGACACCAGTGATGGTACAGTTTAATGTTTTTTTTTTTTTTTGCATAATGCCACAGTGAATCAGTGTATATATGTAAAAAATCATTATAAATGATTGTTGTTCAGCTAGCAAAGATAGAAGTGACTGGTTAATACCTTTACGAAGTGAGGCACAGTGCTAGGGGAGTTCATATGACCCAGCTGACCAAATTTATTGCTCCCCCAAGAGTAAACCTGAGAAAGCAAAAGAGAAAGCATTGACACAGCAAGTAACACAGCACTTAAAGGGGAATTCCACCAATTTTTCATGATCATAAATCAGTCACTGAGATGGAACCCAAGTCATTCAGAGTGGTTAAATGTGAAGTGGGGCATTATAGAGAGATGTATAAACTTGGATTTTTTTAAAAGTGGTGGTGATAGAAACCAGCGGTTATAATGTCTACACTGCAATTATTTTATATGCTATCTTAAATGACCAGTGAACCCACATGTATCTTTTTAGTTTTAATATATTATGTTGATCACAGTAAAATAGTGGTAAATTAAAAAAAAGTTTATTTGGCCACTATTTTGCCTTACAAGGCCCTGCATGTACCTCTGACCCACAAAAGGCTTTTAAAAATAAGCTTTAGGCCAAAATATTACCTGAAAACTTCCATAACAATTCATAACCATTTTGTGTAATAACTTTCTGTGAGGTAGCATTTAATGGCATGAAATGCTTAGAATTCCTATAGGTTCCAGTCAGCACCGCTTTCTTACATCATATTTCAGGTCGAACCACTCTGAATCACTTTGTCTACATCTTTTAAATGAACATTTTGATTACACTTACACAATTACACATTAAGCAGACATGTTGTTATTGGCAGAATTCCCCTTTAACTATATCAGAATGATTTATCAGATGTGAGTCACACAAAGCACCAGCACAGAACAAATTAAAACAACTGGAGGATGTACTCTGTAGTTACCTGACACTGAGCTGTCAGGGCCAAGGAATGGTTTGATCCAGCAACAATCTTGACAACTTCCTTGTTGCTTAAGCTTTTGATGCAGAAAGGCTGTAACCTGAAAACATGGGAAATAATAATTTTCAAACAGTCATTACAATTAGCATTACTGCCAATAAATGGTAATGAAAAGAAAGCGACATCTAACCTGGGCAAGAAGTCTCCATGACCAAGCTGACCTTCTTGACCCCTACCCCAACTCCACACCTCTGTAAATAGAGATGGGAGGAGATTCTCTTTTTCTGAAATGTCTGAGGTTGCATTGGCTCCGCTTTTGGAACGTTTGCTCCGATGAATTACTGATGGAGGTGCTGCAAGGTGGAGAACACAAGGCACAGAATGCACACAGTTCCAAGAGACTTGCAAATAGCCAATATATGCAGTTACTTAAAGAGAATGAAATCTACCTTTGATTTATTAGCATTAAATCAGTAGATTGGCAGCAAAATGCAATCTAAACAAAGCCTGCTTCTTTAGTTTTGCACTAGAGCCATGACACTAAGCGTTTATCCTTTAATTAGTGTAGTGAAAACTACATGCCTAAGTGATTACACATTTGCTTCAAACCACATTAATTTTTCAGTAATCTCAAAAAGACAGGATTATGTGGTTTATTACACTGTACAGCATACTTTTATCCACAAAAGTGCAGTGCATTAAAACTAAAAAACAACTGTAACAGCAACATTTTGCATATGAATGGCTTGATGCAGTTAAAAGCAACTATATGATTATTCAGACATGCAGTTTGCACATTTGTAACTGTACAGTATGGTATAAGCTTCAATTACTTCGATTACTACTTACAAGGGAGAAAACTGTGCAAATTTGATAGTTTGGCCAAACCATTTTCTTAAAAGATTTAATATACCTTGTGTGAGCAAAGCAGGTAATGATCTTCTGCGATTGTGTCCCTCTGTGAAATCAAGCCGGATGTCAGTAAGGCTGGCACTGTTCTTGGCCTCCAGAGACTCGTCTGTACACAGATTATTTCCTGCAGTCAACAAGCCACTGTCACAGACCTCCTCACTGTCATTGCTAGTTAAAGGGTCAGTAGGACTGACAACTGTATTAATGACAGAGTCTTCAGATGAGTCATCGCAGACAGAATCCCCCATTGGTAATGCACAATCTCCAATTGGCCTGCTTAAAATAGAGTTTGGTGTACTGTCTTGAGAAGCCACTGGTGCAAAATCTGAAGGTTTGAGCTCAATACCATTGTTTATGTCAAGTGTAGCTAAGGAAGGAAATGTGGCTTTGTCGCTTTGGTCCAGTCTATAAGGGTCCTTGAGCGATGACTGACGGCTTGGAGGACATGAACCTGCCATAGATACAGACTCAAAATGCTCAGAGATGGACTGATCAGACATCCTCTTGAGGTAGTCTTTCAGAGCTTGTTCATCAGGATAAGGGGAACTTTTGGTTCTTTGTCTTGAGAGGTGTTGCAGTGGAGCTTTTGAGCTATCAGTCAAAGACAGAGCTAACGGTTCATCATGTTCTTCTTCCTTCTTAGGCTCTGTGTCATCTTGGTAGGTTTCACCTAAAGCTTTCTGATTAGGACCGAAATCTTCAGAGAACCCAAGGTCAGGTTCTGAGAGTTCTGTTTTTGGCGTCAGATCTGGAGATCCCTGCATTGATTTTTGATCCTGCTTTGTGTTAGTTAGTTCCACCCCTAGTGGGCAGTAATGGTTGTCAGAAATAATAACATGGTCATCCTTATCAATCATGGTGTAAAGCAGCTGCTTGCATTGGCCACATTTATCCATGGACTGGTGACATGATTCTGTAGGGGGTAATGAGCGAACCAAAGCCAGGCTGTGAAACCCACCACAGGCAATCTGCACCACGTATCTCCCTGATAGGTGCTCTACTTTTTGCGGTTTGTACACAGGGAACACATTGGTGACCAGGCCCAGTTGGCAGCCGAAACCCCAAGCCCATACCTCATGTTTCCCTGACAGGGCTAAGGTATGCTGGGCCCCACATGCTACATCTAGGATCCAGACAATTTCAGGAGGGACAGTTTCATCGTCCACAATGTTGACACGAGTGGGATTAGGCACTAAGCTCAAACCAGAGATGCCACACTGACCATGGGAGTTCTCACCCCACATGTGAACCCCCCCATCCAATGTAACAGCCCCACAGTGAAAGCTGCCTGCAGACACCTGGACCACATGCTGGCCACTCAATGAGCTCTCTAGGATAGGGTCCACTGCCTGGCATCTCAGGTCTCGCTTCCACGGCTGTTCTCCAAAGCTGTAGACAAGCCCACCTAGGAAATGAGGACGTTTAAAAGCCCAATGTTAAAACACAACATAACATAATGACCAGTGCAAATTCATGAGCTGACTAAATGTCAGAGTTATGAATTATAACTGTAAATCAAATATCACTAATATGACTGATCTACCCTCAGTAAGTAGAACTCCATGGCTGATCCCCAAGCCAGCTTGAAGCACAGCCCTTGGCAGGAGCACCTTCTCTGGGTTAACACTACAAGAGTAACCCTGCCACCTGTGGAGCACCCCCCTCTCATGGGAGCCTTCCTCCTCTTCAGAGCTGAGGAGAAACCCAGATAATAGAAACAATATGATCACTCAAATATCTGCCTCAAAAAGCTTTAAAAAAAAATTACATATTCGAAAGGAATGTCTACAGCTGGGCTTTCTCACATCCTGAGACTTTATTTATGTCAACTGAAAGCAATCAACGTCTTTGGTAATTAACCCTCCGTGCTAGTAACAACAGTCTTCAAATGACGGCAAGTATTACCTCTTCTGTCCTTCCATCAGTGCGCCTGGTCCACTGCCATCATCAGAGACTCCTGGCCTTCATTTCTTTCACAGCGGCCTTTAAAGAAATAGTGCGGCGAAAAATCAAACTTACATGACTTTCCACTTACCCCAAACGCAGTTTATCAGCCAAGACTTGTTTGGTGTCTAGATTTTGCTACTTTGGTTTAAAACTGGAACTGCAAGGCTAACACTGCTACCAAACACTGAACGTCAATAGTCACCCAAACCATTTTTATAATTACAAGTTCAAAAATTCCAGAAACCTACTCAAACTCCATCCAGTATAACACGCTATAAACTTTAATAATTGAAAAAAAAAACTTCTCAGTGTAGCTTAAAGAAAGAGCAGCCATTTAGGACACCCGGAATCACACCTTTCCTGAGCACAGTTTGGTATCGTTCTGCACAACATGACCAAAGATGGGGCTAAAGGAGTTCACAGTGTAGGGTAACGTAGGAAAAGAAGCTAAGCAAGTGTACTCAAAATGTTATAATGTCAAATTACAAATTTGAGGACCACACTTTCTGCATAAATGAGCCTCCACCATATACAGACGTTATGAATGTTACAGAACATTATGCAGACAAAAATGTAGTTCACGTTTTAGCTTAAATCTGAAAATAAGGTCCATGTCATTTTACCAATTCAGTTTTTTTTAAATGAGCTTACTTAGCTTTCTGATGTAATTGAAATCTATGCATTTTTTAAACAGTTTGGTGACTACTGACCTCTAGTTTTTGTTAACACCATTAGCCTGGCAACTCAGGTTCTAAACTAAAGAAATCAAGAAACTGGACACCAACAAGTCTTGGCTGATCAACTGCATTTTTAAGTAATCGGAAAATCATGAAAATTTGATTTTCTTTCAACCTATGCCATTACGTGCTTCAAAAAAACAATGTTGATATAATAAACTTATTTGCATGTCTACACTCATAAATGAAACAGACAGGTTTCTAGTATGAATGTACACAGACAAGTTTGCATGTCTATTTTTATATGCCCATTAACTTCTGTATTATTCCCTACTGCTCAGCCTACACCTAGGTTAATTTAACAGGAACAGTGAAGTGTTAATCCAAGTTTAAGGCCATCACGATCATAAACTTTTAGCTGACGATTAACAGTCATGTAAATAATTGCGATTAGGAACTGAACTGTCTTTTCTTGTTCACTTTGGCAGCTATTAAAATATAAGCCTGATGTGGCCAAACTGGTTTATTAGCCACTTGCTATGTTTACTGAGTAAGCTAACACTGGCTGTACAGTGTTAGCTACTAAGTAAACGCTAAATTTGCCGGCATATATGCTAAAAAACGAGAGAATTCGCTACAAAGCTAACAAATAAACAACTAAGTTATTCCTCAATGCAGCCTTTTATATGTTAGAGCCCAGTGGTTTCTCAATGGATGCATTTTCTGATTTCTTTTATTTACATTTATTGACCTCAACACAACGCACACTCTCATTTTGTTTGTTGCAGCATGACTGTGAAATCTAACGACTGATTAAAATGGCTGCAGTCCGCTAAAATACCTGGGATCATATCAAATAATTGATCATCTGAAATAATTAATTGCGATTAGGCGGTTAAGTATTAGTAACTGTGACAGGTCTATCCATGATAAAACATTCCATTACTTTAGACCAACAGGTAGCATTTTAAACGAACGGGTTAAGCAAATCTATGAATAACTCGAATAAAAGCTCAATAACTGACGTCCCACAACATCCATGACCCTGATGACACCTGGTCCCCACTATAGCTACTTATCCTCACTTTCTCTCTGTGTCACTCCATCTCTCGGTTCTCTCACGCCCTCCCTCCCACACGAAGCTAAGGTTGGCTTCCTATCCTATTCGCCAGCTCCTTGTTCGAATTGTCCCGTTCCACCTTAAATGGCGCAGCAGTAACATTCTGGCTCCTCAGGCATCTGACATTAAATGTTTCTGTTGGACTACCTGAGGCTCCAGAATGCGACTACCATACCATTTAAGGTGGAACGACTCGAACAGCTGACGAATAGGAAGCTGACTTCAGCCTCGTCCCTCCCACCAACCCACCCAAACCAAAACAAAGTATCCGAGGGACAGTAAGAAAAATAAAGTACACTTACCCTCACTTTGGCCAAATCTCCAGCAGACAGCTGTGTCTCTCAGAGCCATTCACTGCCTCACTGCAGACTCTTCCTTGAGTTGAATCCTCACTTGGAGAACAGAAACTTCAGCCGGCGAGCTTCTTTCTTTCGACACTTCCACAACTCAGTAACTCAGCCCTATTCTCGACTACAGCGCGGGCTGTAATGTTTAACTCTGAAACCGAGTCTTGATAAACTTATTCCAGAGTGTAAGAACTTCATCTGTCAGTAACGCAGCTCTCGCAGTTTTCACACACGGTGCGGTGTGCGGAAGGTGGTGGTCTCAGCCCGGCCCTGTTTGTTTAGAGAGCTGGGCGAGCCTGCGATGGAAAGCGCTGAGGGACAAACTACTGCTAGTCCGACAACAGAGACGTTCACGTGACTGAGCAGTTGGAACAGCTATTTCTCAACACTGTGGAGTTTCACACAAATTACACAAAGCAGGATTATAAAGCAGGATTATAAAGTGGGATTATAAAGTAAACTTTACTTGAGCCACAAGTGAGGACTGTGCAATAGGAGAGGAACCTTCCCTCTTTTCCTATTGGACAGGCTTGACATTTGGTTTAAGTTATCTCTCTAACAACAAAAATAATACTTTGTGAAACGCTTTTTCTCAGAATATTTATAGAAGTAATTATGAAGGGCACATATTGCATTTTGCAGTATGTTGAGTGAGTAAAACTGGCAATACAGCAGCTACACAGTTTCATGTAATGTACCCAGATGACTAAACATAAATGTGCGGTCAGGAGAGCCATGACTCACAGAAAGAGCTAATTTCTTAACTCAGCAGTTAGCTTTAATCAGCACTACCGCACAGACAGCCCTGTCTAATAAACTCCCTCTTACTTACAGTGCAGCTCCATCAGTTTTCAACATATTATCTGCAACATTTTATTTCTTTTAACATTTTCAAATCTTAAACTGATAAATATTTGATTTCAGATGCTAATGAGCTTGTGTTAGACAATATTTAGTAAACAAGCAAATAACACTTTTTTAATTTGCTGAAAGTTTCATATGGGGGGTGGTGGTGGGGGGGGCAGTAGGCCCATTTCACAAGAAACTGAAGTACATAAATGCAGAGTAAAACAAATTCCACTATTGCCTCATATGCGATTATTAACCTTAGAAATACTGGCGTTCCTATCATTTCAGCTCACCATTGAAAGATATGTCGTTTCAACTTCCTCATAGTTCCCAAGATTGAAATTCTAGGATGTGTCCTCAGTTGTTGGAAAACACCAAATACACAACAATGTGGGAGTCAAAGCTGAATAGGGGATATAAATTCTTTGTGGAAAAAATCCTTCACTGCTGTCAGAGTACAATAACATCAGCTAGCGTCTTGGGATAATGCATATGCAAAAAATAACTATAATGTTAGCTGGAGATGATGAAACAACAATTAACACAATAAAACTGGTTCTCTTATTACTCTTCTCACTGATGATGTAACCTGCAATCTGCTGCTGAAACTCTGATTCATGCCTTCACCTCTAGCCACCTGAGCTATTGCAACACTCCTCCTGCAGGCATTGGCTCTTCTTCTCTTCACGAGCTCCAGATGGTCCAGAGCTCTTCCTATCTTTTCAGTTATACCTGGACACATTATCACATTACACCTGTTCTCCAAAGTCTCCAGTGGCTTCCCATTAAGTACCACATACATTTCAAAATCCCACTACTCACATACAAAGCTCTTAACAAACTCCGTCTCTCTTATTTGTCTGATCTTCTTCCCTACAAACACTTTGCCTATGGAACTCTCTCCCTCCACAAGTTTGACAGTCTCATTCTCTCCCCACATACAAATCTAATATTAAAACAAACCTATTTTCTCTTGCCTACAACCTTCCCCAAACCTAAAGTACTCCTCAATCCAGGTTGTCCTTATGTTGTCTGTCTCTGTATTACTGTGTTTTATTGTTTGTTTTTGATGTTCTGTGTATTGATGTAAGCATCTTTGGGTTTCTGAAAAGCACTTTATAATAACATGCCTTATTATTATGAAACTAGTTGGCCAAAAGCTAAACAAGCAGACAAACCAGCAGGGAGGCATGCTGCGTTGTCATTGTCCGTGGTCTATGCTGCTGGATGACTGTATGTTTTTTGGATCCCTGCAAATTTCAAAAGTCTGTGTTAGAATTGTCAGGGGTGATGTCCTCACCAGCTATGATGACCAAAAGGCTTTTCGCTTCCCCACTGTTGTATGCACAAGCAACTGGCCCAACAGCATGAGCATGCTTCCCCCCTCCATGACCTGTATTGCCCATCATGCATGTCACATTCTATTAGAGATCCTTTGTTAAAGAAAGATCCACTGATTCCTCACATCTCTCTAACAAAGCACAGAGACACAGTCAGAGCCACTGTGGACAGGAATGATCTAAAGTTGCATGAGACAGCAAGTGATTGTACTTCATAATGCAGCATTTCCCTGTTCTGTCTGGGCTGCCTTTGTCAAATGAAGAATGGCAAGAATAATGCAGCATGAAGTCAGAATAATGAAGATGATGTGAAAGCCTGTGTTTGTAACGGTGCTGCCCCCTGTTGTGCAAAGCTGGCAGTGTAACATATCGGCCAGCAGAGGTCATTCCAGCACCAGTTTTAAACACAAAAGAACTTCATAACACATCCCTAGGCATTGAATAACATATTTATAAAGCAATACTTGAGTATTTAAAACAGCTTATGGCATTAATTACAAGATGACATAAAATATTATATCTTAATAAAATATAATTTACTTTTGACACCAAGAGAGTGTTTCCTAGTCAGCTTTCAATAAACAACGTTATTCAAAGCTAAGCATGTGTTATGAAGCCATATGTAGGCAGAAGTGTTGAAGTCAAGACTATTAAATCCGAGTCTGAGTTAAAACTGAGGCCTAGACACATTGAGTCCGAGTCAAGACCAAGACTTTGTAGTAGTCGAGGCCGAGTTAAGACCTTGACCAGGAGTGGTGAGACCGAGACAAGGCCGAGACCAGATTAAGATTTTTTTCAGAATATAAAAGTCAGTGGGATTCATTGTACATATATTATCATTCATTTCATCTATTAATTATATATACAACAATTCCAAGCCCACCTTACCCTGGGACCAAGACAAGACCAAGTCAAAATGATGTTAAGACTGAGACCATTAATTTACGCTCTCGAGACCGAGATAGAACACGAGCACTGCAGCTCTAGTAGGTAGTCTTTGAATAAAGTGTTACCAAATTATTTATGGTCATTTGTTGGTTGAACTGTCATTGCATAAACCGTCAACAATCCTTTGTCGTGCACTGATGGCTTAAGTTGTTGGACAGAATGGGCTACAGACAACCGCACTGTGAAAATTCCAAAACGCTGGTCAGGAGAGAAAAGATGTAAACAGCAAGAAACACAAAACAGAAAGCAGTAAAAAGTCTTGGTTTTTGGGGTGGAGAAACCGCTGGCAGTAAAAAAAGCCAGCGGAGGATTGGCAGGTATAAGCTATCTCTGCGGGATGCTGAGAGCAGCCCAGGCTCTCACACGCACAGCCTGCACTCCTCCTTCCTGCACCTCTCATTCGTGATCTCAACTTGTTTTCACTTTTAGTGTTTTCTATATAAAAACGCGGGGCTTTGCCCTGTGGAGTTTGACCCAGTGTTTTAGTGTGTGTGGTCATAAACACAAAAATGGTATAAAGTGAGAGAAACCGAGAGAGGGAGAGAGGGAGAGAGGGAAAGAGACTTCTCATGGAGAACGAAGGTTGAACTTTTCACCACGACACCCTTCACCAGTCTCACTGGGCTAGCATCAGTTTTTGTGGTCCCCCTTGACCTGTTTGGCCCAATTAGTTTGTCGTAATGGACTATGGCTCTGAGAACAGCGTGTGTCCACCTGGGGCTTCGGCCTGCCGCTCTTTCTGCTCTGCTCTCCGCTCAGCACACAGAGAACGGGGGGAAATTGGTAATACAGGGGTGATTTAATAAGACAAGCATTGCATAGGAATCACAAGAATGTCCCACACCCATCAGCATGTGTTTCTAATTCGTAAGCCTTTTAACAAACCCATGTTAAATAAATTAAAACCTTTCAGAGGCCCTCAGTAGTTGCAAAAAGGCCCAGCTCTGCAGATTTACAGGGCCTTCCAGCGTTCCTTTACTGGATCCCTCTGGTCTTCTTAAACACATTAATGTGTGATGTTGCTGTGTGAAACTTAATAAAGGACAGTTACGTTTCCTGCAGTCAGCTGTGCATGTGGTGACCCCTCAGCAGCCGTTCATGATTGGTTTAGTCATTTACTGCATGCTGTCATACTGGTGCGTCATGCTGTGGTGTCCCCTCAGCTCTCAGAGTGTGCCTTTGAATACTTCATGTTGCTGACTCTGCAGCACCAGCTGCTCTCCTGTGAGGATCCGTGATCTAACGCAGGACTTTGAAATGTGTCAAAAATAAGTGTACGTAGAGTGAGCAGATAGACTTGGACTTATATATCTGTGACTACTGATTTTAGTTATATGTTTGTCCATTTTGTAGAGATAGCAGCATTTGGTAACACTTCAGTTTAGGGAAGCATTATAATACCATTGCAAGGTACTGTAAAGGTACATTTTAGTCCTCAAAGGTACAAACAATGTAAAAATACCTTCAAAGGTGCAACATGGTCCTGAAGGTCCAATGTATCTTAAATGAGTTCTCCATTCACTTTCCCAAAGGAAAGAGTCATATTTGTACCATTTCATAATTTAACTTTTTTAAGTAGAAAAGTAGAAACAATGGCTGGGAATTAAAACAGAGGATATTGATACTAAATGCAACTGAAAAGATGTTACTGTAAAAGAATATATACAATTAGATTCCTAATTAAAGGTACTGAAGATGTACCCTTGAAAGTGCCACCTCAGTGACAGCATTTGTACCCTTAAAGGGGCAATTTGTTCTGATAGTGCAGATGGTAACTAAGTAGCTGCTCATTACAGTTTTATTGAGCAACAAATATGCTAACTTAAGCATTTTCTATAAATTTTAAAATCTAATGCATATGTAAACACCGGGCTATCAATGCTTCAATAATGAATTACCAATTAGCTTTAAAGGGACAATGTTTGCATACTACTTCATACTCCTTTATTTTAAAAAAGCAAGGAAATTTAGATTTTCCTTGATATAGGACCTTTAAATAAAGGCACACAGACCCTCTATTCTAAAGAGTAGATTTCTAGTTAACATATACTAAGAAGGTGTTAACTTCTAGTGTAAAGGCGTTTGAACTTTATACAGGGTCTGCATGAACTGTGCTTAATAATTTCACTTCTAGTAAATACTTCACCTATTAGAAAGTGTTGGATGTTTTCATATCAATACATTATGTA